CCCTTCCGCGGCGAACACGTTGAACGATGCGGTAGGCCTCAGACAATCATTCCGTGACAAACAGCGATGCAATTTTCGGTGCCGTATTACCTGACGCTGGTGCTGAACCGGGCGCCGGCGGCACTGAGGCGGAATATGGGCTGCTACACGCTGATTCCGCGCCGATGCCAGGACACGCCCACCTGTAAAAGGACGCTGGAATTCTGTGCCGATGTCATGACTGACGAGGCTTTACCGGTCCGAGACCGGCCGCATTACCGCCGTGCCCGCTCTTCCCGCTAGGGTGAAATGCAGACGCCATGTAGCCTCAGCAGCTGAGTGCGTCGTTAAGTCCCGATGACGACGACCAACTGCATTAAAAGTACTTGATAATGTTCTGGTTTCTGTATTCGTCTGGTTTCAGCACTAGAATAATTGTTTCGCTTTCAATCAGTTGGGTATATTCGAATATTCGACAGAGAGCTAAGCATGGCTATAGCAAGGTTAGCATTTGCGTAAATTGCAAACATTATAGCCAAGCGAAATTATGACAGACGCGACATATTCATACTCGTTGTAATATTGCCGACTGTGAATTTGGACACATTGCGGATTTGGAGCATATCAGAACAGGAAGAGTGACCACAATTGAAGGCCAGCACGGGAAACTCAGTCATTTTTTTGCCACATGTGTAAAGTCAATAAAATGATCGGGATAGCAAAGCATGTTTTCTAAGTTCAGCTGTCCTAAATAAGTAGAAAACTGATTGATTCTACGCACAGTCGTTGCCTCCCCCGGAAGAAAAAACAACAACAAAAAAACAAAAAAGGGTACAAACAACTAAAATATCACCTTTTTGGACCGTTGCTGCACGCTCGTTTCTCACTGTGCTCAAACTAAAACCAAGACCTTACAGAACTATCGGGACTTCAAGAGAGATTTTCCGGTAAAAAAAACAACAAATGAACCGGGAGGGTACGACGCAGCTTCCTGTGCGCTTAGCTTGTAATATGTTGTAGCATGCCTGTCCCATTTGAATGATTCAACCTACTAGTACCTCTCTGCCTTTGCAGCAGCAGTTCCGCGAGTTACGCTGTCCTTCGGCTCGGCCCCTCCGCTCAACCCCTCCGTAGCAGCCAGTCGGGGGCCTCTGTCCAGCGCTCCTCGGTCCTTGCCGACAGCCTGAGCCATCCGTTCAGTCCATCCCAGTCACTGCCAGTCTATATCAAGGGCCTTCCGTCCAGTTCCTCCCAGTCCCTGTTCGTCCATCAGGGCCCTTCCTTCAGTCCAGCCCCTGCACGTCCGTCAAGAAGCATTCGTTCTGTTCCTCCCCATCTCCACCCGTCCATCAGGGACCTTCCGTCCAGTTCCCCCCCCCCCTGCCCCCAGTTCATCAGCGCGCTCCATCTAGTCCCTGTCAGGCCTTGTCTGTCCACCAGGACAATCCACCCAGTCCCTCCCGATCCCTGTCCGTACATCAGGAGTCCTGCCAGTCCCAGCCCACCCTTCAGGGGCTCTCCGTCCAGCCCTTCCCGGTCTCGGCCGGCCAGTGAGCCGGGTCCCTCCGCCCGGCTCGGTTTCAATAACCGGCCTGTCCGGACAGATAATCAGGTGGCGTCCTCACGGGCCGGAAGCCGGCTAGATTTGTCACTCAAATTAGAGGATAGGTTGGGCCAAGATTGATGACTGCCCGGCTCCTCAGGCAAATTAGAAATACAGCGGCGTGCCAATCGAGCCCGGCCGCGCGCCATTCGGACAAATTAGCTTAGAGCTGGACAAGAATCCATCACGCGGCTAGTAATTGGTAATTGGCACCGCGGTAGTATTGTTTCACTTGTGCCTACAATTTGTCGCAGATGGTGGGAGAATCTGGTCGGCGCGCCCGCCCGAGATGGGCAATTTGCGCGCAGACGGCACTCGCTCGCCTAGCCGGCGGGCCGCGGCCGGGCTAATCGGGTCCGTTCAGGCGGCACCGGCTCGGGAGGAAATCCGTCAATAACTTAACCCCGTCGCCCCTGTGGTTCCGGCCACGAGCCGATCCGTCACAGGCGGCAGGGGCGGCGCGCGCGGCGCACGGCCATCCCAGGCGCACCGCTCGCCGCTACCGGAGCCGGCGCGGCCGTTGGCCGGTGGGCGGCCGCGCAGCAGCCAGCGTCGCAGGCTGGGGATCGGTCGGTTCAGAAGCGGCTGCCCGGCGCACTGGCGAGCAGTGCTGAACGCTGAAGGGAGCAGTGGAAGAGAGCTACACTTAGACAGCTGCCTCTCAGTCCGAGAACACGAATTTGCGCTTTGCAAGCGTTTTCCCACCTCTATTTACATGAGTGGAGTACGTGTTGCAAAATGCGGACTTGCCTCGTTCTTGACCGTTGTATTGGATCAGTGAATATTCATCTACAATGGTGGTGTTGAATTGTCCTTGCTTCTGTTTCGAATTATCCTTTCTTACTTTCAAGGCCTGTCGAACGAGTAATCCGACTTTTTAGCAACTGCGTCCTGGTAAGCTGGGGAGGGTGGGGGTGGGAGGTGGGGTGGGGATGGGTGGGGTTTGGCCTGAAGCCCAAGTTGGGGACTGGACCCCTCTACAGCCGAATAGAAAACTCTACCCCTTCCGAATTTATCTTACAGCAAAGGACAGCTGTTTAAATGACCTTTCAAGTACGAAAGAATTGAGAGGTGGTCAATGTGTCTTCATGTTTTTTTCCTGGGATAAAAGTATTGCTGAGGTTGCAGTGATTTTAGTGTTTGACTGACGGTCTCACTGTTGCATAAAGCTGCTCAACTTTCCACGAGTGCATGTGTAAATAAGAATATAATCTCCGCAACCATCAACAGCAGGCATCCCGAGCAAATCCCCGTTTGCTGGAAGTGTCCAAACTGCGCGGCCGTGTGCTGCGGAAGAAGGGCAACAGACATCACCAGATCACGCGCGGGGTGTCAGGTCAGCTGAATTACTCATCGCGAACTTAAGAAATCTTAATGATGATGCTTAGCACAGGGAGAACACAAATTAGTAAAGAAACTGAAGCTTAATGAAGCCAGATAATGACCACGGACCCATATTGCATAAACAACGCTTACGCAGCTCCCTGGAGTGAAAAAGAATCATTAATGCTTCCACAAAAAACATTGGACTGGTGCCAAACTATTGCTTCTCAGCCCGGAAGCACAGTTTGCTTTTAGGAAGCGGTTTCCAATTTGGATAGGCAGAAAGAAGACAGGTAATTATTTTCAAACAGCGCCAATTAATTTCCCAACTGTTTTTTTCATTCTTGAACCCTGTCCGCACATTTGTCTTCCCGGCTTACGTACAGACTAAATGTTTGCTTCGGCAATGACTTCAAAAGACGCCTCCCGCGCTGACTGGGGTTACACGAGGGTTGGGCATGTCACGTTACTGGGTCTACACGACGGTTGGGCACGTCACGTTATTGGGTCTACACGACGGTTGGGCACGTCACGTTATTGGGTCTACACGACGGTTGGGCACGTCACGTTATTGGGTCTACACGAGGGTCGGGCACGACACGTTATTGGGTCCACACGACGGTTGGGCACGTCACGTTATTAGGTCTACACGAGGGTCGGGCACGACACGTTCCTGCGCTCTGTTGTAGATAGTGTGAAGGCATCTGCCACGAGAATCGGCTGGGTGCACAACTTGAGTCTGAATGTGATTCATATTGACAATAAACAAAACAGATGCATCAATGAGTCGATTCCAAATACGTCCGCGTTACTCTCATTCTCCGGCAACTGCTCTCGTCCAATGACGGCACGAATGCGTTGCAATGTCAAGCTGCGGACCAGTTGCTACATTGACAAAGTTGCGTTGCTTCCGTGCAGCCGTGCGCTGGTAGACTCTATTTTTTGGATCTACAACAGTTGACTGGTAGACTGCGCTGGTAGACTCCATTTTTTAATCTACAACAGTTGCTACATTGGCAAACTTGTGTTGTTTCCGTTCTCCATTCAAGAACTCCATTTTTAAATCTACAACAGTTGACTGGTAGACTGCGCTGGTAGATTCAATCTTTTTAAATCTACAACAGTCGCCACACTGGGAAACATGCGTTGTTTCCGTGCAGCCGTGCGCTGGTAGACTCCGGCCCGATCCTTGCTTTGCGTGTCGCGGGCGGCGCGGGGCCACGCGCCGTGAGAGACGACGCGACGAGACGTGGGGAACAGCACTTACCCGGGGGAGGGAGCAGCCGTACTGGTGCGGCGCTCAGAGCGCACACCAGCAAACCTCCGCATCTGACGGGCGTAACGCGCCATGCGTTGTTCCGTGTTCACGAAAACTGCGGTGTCGAACTCAGTGCCTGAGAGTTAAACTTTGCTCGGACTGCAACTGACAGTTGAGGTTTGCTCGGACTTAGTGACTGAGAGTTGGGCTTTGTTCTGACTCAGTGGCTGAGAGGTGAGTTTTGCTCGAACTGTCTGCGATTTCGACACGTTTCAAATGTCCCGTTTCAGGACTCCATCGGCGCATCTATTATGCGGACATGATTGGCTGAATACACGTTTCAGTGCGCTGAAATATCTATGGCTGTGATTGCTATCACCGAAGTCCTCCACCGCATGGGGGCACAAAGGGCAGCTGGTGCACGACCTAGCATTGCAAGCGTACGGAACGGGGAAACGTTGCAAAATAATGTTTCCACTTTTCTTCTGCCCAGCTTTACTCCGTTTAACAGCTCGCAGAGTGTCTTGTCTCCTTTCCGAGAGTGCGTATTACAACCATCATTGTTTCCAAGCCATGTGCATGTTTGCTCACGGTTTTGGACCAACGCACAGAATGTATGACAAGATGCGGCGTTGAATGTTATCTAGAAGCCTACCTTATGTACTTATGGATCCATTTACATTTACTGACATGTGTGACCATCGATTGTGAAAATTCGTGTGATAATGCCAATGCTTCAGGCTTAAAGACAAGATCCTTACTGATTTCATAGCCTCTTAAGTCCCAACTAAGTACCGAATTGGCGCATTGCAATCCTGCATGCAGCATTTATTTACATGTTCCTATTTCATTCATGCAGTCATTTACTTCGTGCTCGTAATTTGAAGGCAGGTGACATGCGAGGAACAGATCAAAATGATAAAAGTCCCACGATGGACTCAATTTATGCAGAGGTGCACCAAACAGCCTACACAATCACCCCAATCCTACACAATTACTCCTCACACGATCGGGCCGATCTGGCAAGAACGTCCAACAGATGTCAGGCCCGCCTAAGTCTCACGATGAAGGTGTCGCCACAATCGCGTCGATCGACGACCGGACGGCCAGGACGCGCTTTAAGCTTGCACTGCCATGCACAGCAGTTCAAAGGCGCAAACACAACGCATTAAAAGCCAAACCGCAGACGTCAGTTCCAAACCTCCACAAAACGAGGCACGAAAACAACGTCAAAGTCCTGCTCCTCTGCCGCTGGTGCTGCACGCACCGCTCCCGGCCACCTCTCATTCGTCGTCAAGCTCGACGCCGTCCTGTTCGTACCGACAGCCGGACAGCGGGTCCTGCTCGGTGCCGTCGGCCGAGAACTGCAGCTGCCTGCCGTCGGCCGGCTCGGCGAACGCTGATTGGTGGGCGCCGGCGGCGCTCAGCAGGTCGGCGAACACGCCGCTGTCGGCGACCGCCAGCGGCCCGGAGGAGGCCCAGTCAAGGCCGGCACAGAGGCTGGACAGCGGCGTTGGAGGCCCGTCGCCTGCAGACAGGGGCGGCATGCTGCAGGTGACTCTAGCCAGAGACAGGCGAGACACACTGAGGCACTACTAATCACCCCACCCCAGCACCCCGAGCCCGAAATGGTGTTGCATTTCACGCTGAATTGTTGTGATGCAATATCACCGAGTAATTTCAATAACAATTAAAGCGATGAATGCGCTACAGAATGAAGAAATGAAGCGCGCTGCTGGCTTTGGAATTACTTGAGGCACGTCATCAGCGTGCACACACCGCCACGCTCGGTGGAGATTACCGATGGTGATTGTGGGCGATGTCGCAGGAGGCGACGGCTCGAGCGGCAACATCAGGTCCTTGGTCAGATCGCTGAGGCTTATCACTGGAAAGAGGACCGTTCCTGGTGATGTGCTGCACTCAACAGGCCGCATGTTTCGGATCATTTCATTTGTCACCAATGGCCCTAAACAATCGTTTGGTTTGGGTCTGCAGCTAGCTTTCAGAGAGTGATGAATATTCGCTGGGTTATAATCTTATCATGTAACGCGAGTATTTGAACATTTATCTTCATAAAATTTACACCGATTGTTACACGATTGAGATGATTACATGAGATGAGACGAATACACGATGAGATGATACACATTGAGATGCCCACATTACCGATTTGTTTCGGCTAGAGCTCCATCGGCCTGTATAGACCTCTTTGGAGCCCTGAAGTCTTCAGGCCACAACCAGCGGCATGCTGAAGTTCTCAGGCCACAACCAGCGGCATGATCAAGCCTTCAGGCCACAACCACAGACGTAGTTTTGCAAAGTCAGTTGGGGATGGGAGGAGCTTTACAGTGAAAAATGACGGAAATGACCCAGAATATACGTCAACAACCAGATTATCCCCGCATTTTTCCTACTTTCTTTTCGAAGTTGGTGTGTGGGGACGGGACTAGAGCTTAAGTTAAGGGAACCAGAGCCCCCCCCCCCCCCCCAACCGAAGAGGAAACTACACCCCTGGCCACAACCACACACCCAACCCTTACTCTGCAGGAAACCCAGCCGTGCAGAAGGCAGGACCTGACGGTGCGAGGCAACAACAGAGGCCAGGATAGTGGCCGTGCTCCGCCAGTGTCTTACATGGGCCGGCCGCCGCCTGCTCCTCGGGTGGCGCCACGAGCGCCATCAGGGCGGCGCCCGTGCCGCCACCTGACGGGCTGCCCAGCGATGACGCCGTCAGCTGTTTGTAGGTGACGTTCTCACCCTTTCGCCATTTGGCTCGTCGGTTTTGGAACCACACCTGCAGTCAAAGGAAACAGCGCTCAAATCAAGCAGCAATTAAAGTGACCTATAGAAGATACCTCACATCAGTGCTTAACACCAGAGAAACGACGTCAAAAGAGGCGGAAACGCTTTTAAACGGTAATGCCAACACACTAAGCCGGCGTTCTTGACAAGCGCAGGTTCTGCACTGAGACCAGGACGTGCGCTCACAACGCTCCCTTACGCGGCGAGCTGAGCCGAATAGCCGTGACCTAGCCCTTGACCTACACCCTGGTCACCGCCCTGCACCCTGGTTCCTCACCTGCACCATAGTCCCCGACCTGCACCCTGGCCCCTGACCTATACCCTGCCCTGACCTGTAACCTGGCCCCTGACCTGTACACTGGCCCCTGACCTGTACCTTAGCCCCTGACCTGTACCCTGGCCCCTGACCCGTACCCTGGCCCCTGACCTGAACCCTGGCCTCGGTAAGGTCGGCGCTGGCCGCGATCTGCTCACGCAACACCACGTCCGGGTAGTGGGTGCTCTGGAACGCCCGCTCCAGCTGGTCCAGCTGGTGGCTGGTGAACGTCGTCCTGGAACGACACCAAGAACACCGCTTACAGCTGGAGATGCGTGGGCATCGGTGGAAAGCCGTAGAAAAAAAGACCACAAGCGGACAGAGCTTTATGTTTTTGTTTCACGCCGACGAATATATTGTTTTTCGAGTCCATCGCAAAAAATGAACTATCAGTTCAAAGCAAATAACTTCTATCAGTAACTAGTTGGATTCTAAGTGGTTTCACTCCCTTGCAACCCCACTGTCAATAACACGCTTTAACTGCGTAGTTGACACACTTCTATTCATCCTGCAATGGACAGAGTATATTACCCAAGAGACGAGACGATATCTCGCGGATATCCTCTAATCAGAGAGAACGCCAACATTTGTCAGGTCAGGTCATGTCAGGTAAGATCACCTGAATACTCCATCACATTAGGCCAGGTCAGATCACGTCAGCTCCCACCAGATCAGGTCAGATTATGTCAGCTCCCACCAAATCAGGTCAGATCACGACAGCTCCCACCAGATCAGATCAGGTCAGATCACGCCAGCTCCCACCAGATCAGGTCAGGTCAGATCGCATCAGCTCCCAACATATTGGGTCAGGTCATATCGCGCCAGCTCCCACCACAATAGGTCAGATCACGTCAGCTCTATCAGGCCAGGTCACGTCAGCTTTCACAAGACCAGATCAGATCACGTCAGCTCCCACCAGATCAGGCCAGGTCAGATCAAGACAGCTCCCACCAAGTCAGGTCAGATAGCGTGCGCTCAGCTGGTCAGCTCGTGTCCGGTCAGAAGAGCGGCGGGCGCCCCACCGGCGTCTGCCTGACCTGTAGCGGCGCTGCTTTCTCTTCAGCGGGCCGGAAAGCGAGGTTAGTGTGATGAGGTGGCCGCTGGGTGTCTGGATGGTGGTCAGGTCGTCCAGCGTTGACTCCGCCGGTGGCGCCGCCTCGCCGGACACGTCAGCACCGCTGGCCGGAAACGCTGCCCCGGGGCAGCAACGGCACGGTCAGATGAGACGCTCAGTTAGGCGCCGGGCCCACGCATCAGGTCAATCAACATCGCTTTTAGGTAAACCTATTGCAGGTTTCCCCAGGGGCTTTACTCACAGTGACACCGCGAGCGCATTGCGTGTTCCCGGAGGCTCATAAGGAGAGCCCCTGATGGGTTAACTTTTAAGACCTTCTCCGATCCCAACAACTCATCCGCCCCTTCATCATCATCTTCAACATTTTATCCTGCACTCTATCGACAACCCGCTTGTCCGGGTGGGCTGCGTGTGCCAGCAAAGAGTAGACTGAAGTACCCTCCTTTCCGCCTACGGCTACGGTCCTCCGTCTGTGCGCCTGGCACACACCCCGCAGAAGGGTCCCCGTGGGCCTCTGCGTCCTCCCGAAGCCTCGACAGTTGGGTCCCATGTGCATGCGGTCTTGTCCCTACCGTTATCCATGCTCCTTCATCCCACAGCCCTGAAATGATCGCGACTGTCCAAAAGGGCTCCAGCCTAAAAACCTGTAACCAAATCCAACCAACTTGAAATACAATCTGCGCGCAAATCTGTCCCTTTCACAGTGTCTAAACCGATCGGTTTAACTCCTTCCAGTAAAAAATTGTCGATAGGAAATCTTACATCCTTGGAAATCAAGTACATAACCACACTGCCCAAGCACAAACCAAACTGCTGCCCACGTGACAATGAGCTTGTTTCCCCGATTGACATCTGTGCGTTTTGCATGCATGCAAAACGCATAGATGCCAATCGAAGAAGATTCCACGTCTGCATTTCGTTGTTTAACGGTGATCCCGCATCGACCTGGATCTGCAAGACATGCCTGTCCTATGCTGAATTCACATCGTTATAAAATGCGTCTTGTGTGACGCACAGACTTGGCTCGTTTTCCCCGGTGTCAGTGTGAGCAGAGGACGTCCTACGAAGCGCCAGCACATCGCGCGGAACAAGTTCGAAGGAAAGCGGACCTGCACCGACCATTCCGCAGAGTTTCTGCTACTCAGCCCAATCATTCAAGGTCACACATCGAAATAGCCGGTTCCGTTTTTCTCAGCCATCCGCCGTGGAGCCCAGCGGTCACGTGACCGCGTATCAATGCAGCTGCCACCCGGAAAAACCGGCCACTTTGACTGCCAACAAGATCAGCCGACGCCGCGCCGCGCCGCCGCGGCGCGTAATTTCATTTGCCTTAATTGAATTGGCAGGAATCTCGTCAGGGGCATGGGGCTTCAGCCGCGGTGCGAACGGCCAGCCGGAGGGGGCCGAGCACAGTCACGGGTCGCGCGGAGAGCCGACGGCGGCGTCCAGGGAGCCCCTGCACAGGCGGCCGCGGCGTGAGGGGCCGGCGCCTGGAAGAGACTCCCGCGGAGGAGGTCACGGCCGTAGGGCGCCGAGAGTGGCGTCCCGGAGCGCTCCTGCGGCGGCGGTGACACGGCGAGAGCGCGGCACGCGGCGGAGAGGGCTCGGCCGCCCGCCTGCGGCCGCCGGTGGAGGTACCTCGAGAGATACCTCGCGGTCCCACGCGAGGGCTGCGGCGCCAGGGGCAGCGCTCTCACCTGGCGGGCAGTCGTGCGAGCAGTGGTCGCCGTCGGGCAGCCGTGGCGACAGGAATGCCAGGTCTGACGAACGTACCGGCCACGGCAGCATAGCCGGCCCTGGCGCCGCCGGACGATCCTGAGACGGACCCTGGCGCCGCCGGCACGTCCTGAGACGGGCCCTGCCGCCGCCGGCTCCTCCTGAGACCGGCCCTGGTGTCACGGGCTGCTCCTGAGGCGGCTTAAGTGCCCTAGGTGCTCCTCAAACTATGCAGAGCAGGCGCCGACGGTGGGCGAGGAACGGGGAGGCGCGAGGACGAGGCGGCAGCCACACCGCTGCTCCGCGGGCGGACTCGCCGCCGGCTGTGGGAGGGGAGGCTGGAGAGGCCGAGGGCCGCGCGGAGGATGAGCCAAGCCGAGGACGCTGGGCGTGGGGACGGAGCGGCGAGCGGGGTCCGCGGCGGCCACCACACATCTGCCCGCGGGATCCGCCGACGGGACGCGGAAGCCCTACGAGGCGTGACGCCGCCGCCACCGCTGGCTTTGTGGGTTTCGGGCCGATAAATCAATACCCGGTGAATGCGTCACTTGATTTCGACGAGCGGAGAGTTCGCGGGAAGACTGTGAGGAAGACCGTGTGCCGCTGGCCAGTCAACTCAATGTCCCTTGACCGGTAGTGAATGCCTGTTGATGTAAGTGCACAGTGCTACCACGTGCCGGGAGCTAACCCGCCAGCTGCGAAACATTCGCCTACAATGGAACACTAACGGGGACTGCCTGCCTTGTCGTGGCATTTACGTCTTGTTTAACGTCCATTAGCTTCACTCGGGCCCAGGGCGGCTGGGGTCAAATCGCTCCAAATTTGGGATATCAGCTCAGGAGCTAAGAGGATTACAATGACGCACTGCATGGAGCCCAGACTTTGATCCCAGACATACACGCTAAGCATCAGGAACAGTTTGCGGAAGCGCCTCATCAACTCCTTCCCAGTAGCCGCCAGCATGAGAAGCGAACAAATATCAGTCAGACAAAACGAAACTGTTGCTATTGGCGCATTATTTCTCGATAAGCGGGTGCTTAACAATAAATGGAAAATTTCGTAATCCTGCTGCCGACGGAGTTGACTTGACACGGCGGACTATTTGCATGATAAAGCATTACCATGCTTCATGTGTATGACGAGTCCGCAAAAGTTCAAAAAGTGTTTTAGTCCGGTAGCGCGACATTGGCGCACGCTCCACATTTGAGACACTCACATGGCATGCGCTAAATCTCCAGTAGGCGATACTTGAATGCAGTGAGATTCCCCAGTCTCAGCGCTCGAGATCGGTCAGGCCCGGGAAGACACGGGTCTGCACGCCCGAGAAGCCCTGCAAAAATAAGAAACATGGTCTCGGACCTGTGCGGGCTCTGATGCATGTAGACCTGAAGCAAAGCGCCTGCCGGGAACAGAGTGGGCCCAACTGAGGCTGACCAGTGCGACCCAAAGCGGCCCAACGTGCAGCCGACAGGGACGCGCCATCTTAGGGCTGGAGAAGCTGAGACGGGTGCCAAAATAGATTCGGAAAGGTTCTGGCCTTTTATGCATTCCAAAAATAAAAGCCAGGGCGTAAACCGGCGCCACGCGATGCGACTCATAGTGGGAACCGACCTGGACATGGAGCGGAATGAAGCCAAGAGGACGTGCTCTGGCGGTCTGTTCGGCACACACCCTGGCGGAGTTGGTCACGCGAACGTACCCAGTACCCGCCCGCAGCCCGGGCTGTCTGGCTCAAGGGAAATGCAAAATCAGCGCTGGCTACAAAGTAGTTCGAATTGAACTGACGTCTGACACATGCGCGAGTTCCATCTGCTGAACCATGCCCGCTGTACATGGCATCCATCACCCTACTGTGCTCACCCTGGATCCTCGGCGACAACCCGTTCATGCGGGGCAGGTCGCGTGCACCAGCCGTGGGCGGACCCCGAGTGCCCCTGGTAAGAGGCCCCGTCCGAGCGCCGGACACAAAGCCTGGACAGAGCTCCTTGTGCGGCAGGTCTCCGCGGATGAGCCCCAGACGCACGTAGTTGCGCCGTTATCCACCGTCACTCGTCCCGCAGACCGAAGACGCCCGTGACCGGCCGAAACCGCCGAACAATTCAATCATCCAATCTAATCCAAACAACCGAACCCAAATGTACATGGCACTGACGAGCTACCGACACCCCACTCCCTTTCGTTCATCCGTCCCAACAAAACTGAGCGTTGGAGAAGATATTACCGTTACGAGGGGGATGGGGTTGAGATGTTTCTACTCGTCCGTCGAACCACGTCAGCGTCTGTCGCCCCAGTGGCGACGACGATTGACATTGGTCCCCGACACCGGTCGCTTCGAAGCCGTCATATGCATATGCGCGCTTTGTTTGCTTCTGTGTCGAGATGTGTTTGTGAAAGATTACTGATTGAAAAATAATGATTGGTTGGCTTCTGGCTGAATTAGCTCTTACTCCAACTCACACGAACAACGTGAAAGCACCGCCTACTTCGTAGGTACGGTGGAACAAACAAAAAACCCGTGACGACATTTTGTATTGTTACACAATGAAAACATCACAATTAGATGCATGTGAAAGGCATCATCACGTTCCGTCAGTAAAATACTAATTTAACACTATGCTCATGTTGTAAGTACATTCCTCATTATGTCAGCACACTCCGAATCCATATTTGATTATTCACATTCGAACTGGCAACGGTTGCGAAATGACAACGAAAAAACGGGACGCAAGGAGAAGGCTACCTTAACACCAGCACCATTCCAATACGCCGAACGTAAACAAGGCCAGAGAACAATCCCGCCCGCTACTATCTCAACCCAAGCATGTTTTCATTCCAAAGTTGCCAAAGACATGCAAACTCATTGGCATTGAGAAAACAAACGTTATGGCCCACAAATACTTTCCTGGCGATTATACTGTTTCCCTGGACTCAATATCCGTCGTTTTAACCAGCATCCTGTACAGGTACCATGTCAGGCTGAACTACACGCTTGCGAGACGCGCCATTGCCCGTTTACCACGGCGGCAAAATGGCTAACAAGCCCAGCCCAGTCCTTGCACAACTCCTCAGCGCCCGAACTAGTCACCCATAACACCAACCAACCACCGGCTGCTCCTGGCCAAACATCACTCGCTCGTTCAGCGTCCAAGGTTCAACCAACGGTGCAGTAGACACCCATAACCCGGTTGGCGTCGGGCCTGGCTCCATGCCAAGATGGCGCGCAGTGTGTTGGCGCGCTGCCGCGCCAGTGCTGATCAGCGGGGTCAGTGCCGAGCTGAACGACGCCAGCCGGCCTTCCTCTCTCACACATCGGCACACGAGGGGGCCAACGCTTGCCCATCGCCTCAGCCACGGCGACGCGGCTAAAACCAGTCTCGGTGACCGGCGCGCTGCGACGAAAGCGACGCTTGTGCGACACTCACCGCAAAATCACTAACAGCGGCAACACAGCAGCCGCACTAGCATCGGAAGCGAATCAAACGGCAAACGGCTGTAAAACAACACCCGGAGAGCGGCGCGCGCGCCACTGAACGCCGCGCTCTCATCCCGCCGTCTTTTGTGTGGCTCGCCTTCGCAACGACAGCAGAGGTAGACAGACACGCTCTTCACCCGGCGACCCACTCTGCCACGCGCTCGCCGCCGCGTCGCGCCGACACCAGCCAGCCGACCACGCGGCGAAGCCGACCGGCGCGGCACCGAGGTCGGCCGACGCTGCCAGCGCCGCGGCGGCCCCCCGTAACAACAGGCCTCGCCGCCCGCCCCGTAAGTACTGCTACATTATGACGGAATACCTGGTCGGAGAGCATTTATGCTACGGCACAGGCGTCCCCGGCTCTGTTGAGCGATCGGACCAGGCCGCGTCCCTGCCCTGGGCTGTCGCCTCGCCCGCGCCCCTACAGCTCCTTCTTGGCGGCCGACCCGGCTGGGGCGGGTTCCGGCTCTGGTGCGGGTGCGGGCACGGGCGCGGGCGCGGGCGGCCTCGGCGCACCGTCGGCCGCCGCCGGCCGCACGCGCCGCACCCCGCACAGCCGCATCAGCCAGTGAATGGCCGGCACGAGCGCCGGCCACGACAGGAAGATGACGTGGCCGCAGAAGTACACCGAGCTGAGCAGCGGCCACCAGCGGCGGCGCACCACGCTCACGAACGGCACGCACGAGTAGCCCAGGAAGACGAGCGTGTAGAGGCGCAGCACCAGCTGCAGCGGGTACCGCAGCCAGGTGTCCCAGCAGGTGGACATCACGGACGGGTACTGAGAGAGCGCGCCCAGCACCTGCGACACGTGCGCCACGGCGGGTCAGGCGCAGCGACGGTCCGGCCCGGGAGGAGGGACGACGCTTCACCAGATGAACATCAATGCGAGGTTATTCCCTCATACGCCACAGAGCCGCACGTCTCTGTAAGATGGAGACACCAGCAGAACAGACACAAAGTTAAAGCTGGAACAAATGATTGGGTTTTTGCTCTCTCGAGTAAGTGCATACTTAAATGCTTGCAGCCCCCTGTTTGCGTGACGCCGCGCGGATGCGAGGGGAACGCCGACTTGACGTCAACACGCACTTACCTTTCTCTCCCACAAGACGATGGCGAACTCCATGAAGAAGACGACGAAGTAGCCGAGATGGTAGCCGTGCCACACGGCCAGAAACATGAGCGTGAGGAACTGCGACAGCTCCTTGTTACCCAGGAAACGGAGACGTTTGAAGATGTACCTGTCGTCAGAGAGGCGCGGCGCCCGCGCTGTCGGGCCAGCTGGCAGGAGGTGGGGAAGAACACTCTGGGCGTCACGACACGCCACACCGGGGAGAGGACGTGCTGCTGCTGACCACGTGGCCGGCAATCTCAGCATTCTCATCACTGGATCTGATCGGTTCGGTCTGATCTTGCGACTTTGGTTACCGGCAGAACGAATAGGTATCACAGGAAGGTGGCGAAGTAGCCCTCCGTTTCGATGCAGTATTTCTCCGCTTTCTTAAAGTCAAGTTTACTTGAACGCACGATAAATCCCCAACGTTCTCTGTAGACAAGATGCTCTACAACCGACATGACAATATCATTCACAGTTGACAAACTGTGCGATGGGCTTCAGGAGATAACTGGTAAGTTTACAAGACCGACCAAGTTCAGATGACCACCGCCCCCAAACATCCAGCCGCGTGCCCATCCGCCGCGATATCTTACTTGGAGACCCAGACATTCGTGTTCACGTTGAAGCCGGGCACATAGTCCTGAAACTTGATCGCATTCTCGTAGACACGAATGCGCACGTTGGCCAGTCGGTCCCAGAGGTGGTTGCCTTTGCTGTCCTGACCGTTATACGTCAAACCTGAGGACGACACAGCCACGCATGCCGATTACGAGGTACACTGGCAGGCAGTTACCATGACCCAAACCAGGGCGCAATCAATGGTGTGGACTCTGAAATACGCCAAAACCCAAAGGGGATGGGTGGAATAATGGTGACGGAGCTGGGAAAGCTGCACCACAGATGCCGAAAAAATTAACATGCCGCGTGACATGGCACAACCGTAAGCCCACGCCGAAGTAACGAGACACATACACCGAAAGAGGCCCGCAGTCATGACGGCACCACTGATGGCGGATTGAACGTAGGCGTCCACCCTGTCTCCAATCCTCCACAATCACATGTGCCCTTCCATGGCGCCTGAAGCATGCTGCAGTGCAACCCTTTCCGCGGGGTGACGGCAACTGCCGTGTCATACGAGCGCCTACAGGTCCTGACTCTCTCGATCGGGGATCCAACCTGGGCCTCCCCCGGGACACTGTGCGACAGACCAAGTATGCTTCTCAGAAAGCAAAACACATTTCAATTTCGCGGCTTCCAATGTCGCGGATGACGGCCTGTGGGGCGTGGCCTTTTATCTCATCCCTGCCAGGCGGATGCTGGACGAAACCGGATTGGACGGTGACGGACGTGAGAACATTGCACCGATTGGATAATGGAAGGGTGGATGAGGTGGTCAGGCGGAAGGAATGAACCGAGAGGGAAGGTGGGTCTAACACAAAAAAATATACAAGAGTGTACGGGGGGGGGGGGATGGTGCAAGATCATCTCACCTAGCATGATGCAGCCTCCCTCAGCGAACATCCAGGCAGCCAAGTAACGCATGAAGATCACCTTCACCCAGACACCGATCCAGAACATCTTGCTCCAGAAGCTGGACGCCTACCGTGCACGTCACGTGACGCGTCATTTCACAGCGGGCTGGCGGGTGACCTCGCACACGTGACGCGTCGGGTAACTCCAGCAGATCATTGACGGATCCGCGCCGCCGCATGGTTAACGCCCCTCACGCCTTGCACAAGTTTTACAGCACCGCCTACGCCTATCGCAAGCAGGGCAACCGCCGCTGACAAACAGCGGGTAACGAAGCCTGGCCTTACAAGGGCGTCAGCGCACAAATCTCCCGCAGTCATTCCGTGAATACCACACGTACACAGTCCCTTCTCGCCCCCTCCACAAAAGGCCTCCTAACGCCTGCCAGACACCGGTGCAGCTCTCACTACGTCTGCGCGTCACGCAGTGAGCCAGCCTTCCCAGTGTCGGGCGGGCACGCACCATAAACGCCGGCCCGTGGAAGTAGTCGTCGGGCACCAGCAGGGTGTAGAGCAGCTGGTAGAGCAGCATGTAGAGGGCGCCCAGGCCGAGGCGCAGCAGGGCTGGTCGGATACAGTCAGGCAGGCCGGCCGCGTCCGGCTGGGGGAGGGGAGGGCGAGAGGGCGCCGCGTCAGGACCGCGGCCAGGCGTCCAGCGGCGGCCGGCGAGGCGCCCCCAGCAGCGGTGCGAGCAGACGGACCGGTCGCAGGCCTCATGGTGGCGGCTGACCCGCTGACGGCGGGCGCGGCGGGCGACATATCAATGCCGGCGGTGAGGGCACATGCCGGCGGTGAGGGTAGACGCCAGCGGTGAGGGCAGACGCCAGTGGTGAGGGCAGACGCAGGCGGTGAGGGCAGACGCAGGTGGTGAGGGCAGACGTCGGCGGTGAGGGCAGACGCCAGCGGTGAGGGCAAACGCCGCGTTCGAGGGCGGTCCCTCGGCACGTCATGGGGGTGCAGCGCTGGGGGCTGCTGGCGTCAAGTTTGGAAACTGGCCGAACCAGTACGGACCAAATCCCGACTGGACAGCAGATTTTCTGACAGAAATCGTCCAAAGCAATTATTCGCCGGATATAACAACAGTTTCTGAAGCATTTCAATCAAAGCTTGGCCAATTTTCCGCTGCTTGACAGGTCGAGCGCACCAGCCTCAACTACGTCAGCAGGTACTTTGAGCGCTCTGCACGCCCGGCTCGAGCAGCGCTGGGGTCACAGCGGGGCTGCACTGGGGTCACAGCGGGGTCGCAGTGGGGTCACAGCGAGATCACAGCGGGGACCACAACGGACAGTTTTTGGTAAGCGAGCGGCATGGAGTCGGGCTATTTCGGCATGAAGTCGGGCTATTTCGTGCAAACCATACATAAAACTGATGGCTGCTGTAAAGCCTGAGAGAACGACTTTGTCTCCAGAGGGTAATGTCGTTTAGATGGATTCGACCTTATGGAGGTGATGTAGTTTATAGGTTAATGCAGCCGTTAATATATGCAGCGCACGATGGAACGCTCACTCAAGTCACCTACTTTCATGCACAGGACCACAGTGCTCGAGTCACATGTCCACAATACCGAAATAGTCCGGAACTATTCGTGAATGGCACATCATTGCAAAACGTTCGAGGGCAAATGCATTGGCACAGGGCTCAGGGTTCGCCGTATGCAACTAAGCAAACAACCACTATCGTCACTATCTCAGCAAGCAATCAGCGTCGTCGACCGGCCGGCGGACCGAAAGCCATTCCGTCCTATGCGGTACCGGGCAACCACTCTCGATCGATACCGCCTGCTTGTCACGCAACAAATAATCAGGCCCAACACAGGCCGCGCTGGAATGCACGACTCTCGTGTTTTCCGCGAGCAGGCCACGTGTGAACATGGATCAGCTGACGCCCTGCGACGCGCGGTGCGGACAGAGCGAGCCCCGCGGCGACGGACTGCGACGGGAAGCCATGGCGATCCGCCCCAACATTCCACATCGATCGCGCTAGCCGGAATGGGCGCAGAAAACGGACAAGTCCAACGGATACCGCTGGAAGTCTCATGCCGGCCCAACTCTGGGGCCCAGCCGCCGCTTCACGACGATGGCAACACGAAGCGCCCCGGTGTCGGAGGTCTTGCCTTTTGCTGGATACCGTGCTCACACGTCTTGCCTTTTGCGTTCGTGACGACAAAGGAATGACACGACTGGGCTGCCAAAGCACACTGTCTGGCAGCACAGCCCGCAGAAGAGCGCCCGGAGCGTGCGGCACGTGATCAGCAGAAAACGTCAACACCCACACGTGACTCCCTCCCACAAATAGCCCGTTACGCGGCGGGTCACGATGACAGCCCGCGCCAGAGAGCGGACACAGCGGCCTTGACCTCTGTCTCCGCAAGCTCCGCGCCGGAACGCGCGTCGTTAGCAGGCCCCTGCTGCGACCGCGCCCACTCACCGCGAACTTGAGCTGACCGTGCGTGAACTGCTGGTAGAGCCGCAGTGAGAACTGCGGCCCGACTACGGCCGCCGCCGGGAAGAAGGCGTGCCCGCCGATCTCCAGCAGCGAGGGCCGCTCTGTCAGCGCCGTGTCCTTCTGGTCCGGCCGCAGCTCCGCCTGCAGGAGCGCAGGGCCAAGCAGGGTCAGCCTCCTCACCAGGCGCTGCGCACCCAGTGCCGGTCGGCGCGCTGGGTGGGCGCCACTCGTGTTCGTCAGGGCGCGGGACGTTCGGCTACGCACCTTGTCCTTATGGCCGTCGAACATGTCGAAGGCGACTCCGATCAGTCGCAGAGTTAGCACGCAGTGCGGCGTGCACCAGTTGATGTCGTAGCCGTCCGTCTGGGAGAACACATACCCTGCGGCACGGGTCCGCGAGCGTTAGCAGTCCGGTCCCCAACACCCAGCAGCGGGCGCCGTGCCTGGGGGTCAGGCGACATCGATCGTTCAAGAGACTTAATGGGAGTAAGACTACAGTCGAATGTACCCGTTGGCACCGCGTCAGCTAAAGAAGAACAACATAACATTTGCTTTTTCCTCGCAGCCAATGTGCTGTGCTGTGCTGTAAATGGAGTTCAGTAAATACCACCGTCTTACAGTCGCAGCCAATAAGACCATGTATATATGGCAGTGGCGGAGTAGCACGACTGGCGACACACTTGCGATCCTCAGACCCGAGCGCAAATCGAGCGCACTGTGCTGTCGTTTAACACTGGAATCATCAACCCCCTTCATCAATCGGCGTCACATTTGAATTCATCGACCTATCTTATTAATCTGCGCGGGAGATTGTAATACTGATGACCTTGGCAGTTAGGTAAGACACGTAAGCCTATCTACACGACCATATTGTAGATCTTGCTTTCTGAACGCGTGCGAGCCCAATAGACTAAGACATCATGCCCTATCTTGCGGAATCAGACCTCGATCCAACGACAAAGCGTATGGTGTTACTCGGAGCCGGATGGGAAACAACTCTACACAGAGTGTGTTGGAATAAGTCGACGTCACTGCAGCAGCCAAACACACCCATGGACAAGTCACGTGACAGATCCCGTCCATCCGGCGAATGGAGCGCCCCAACATGGCTGGAGACAGTAGGACCGCCCTGCCGAGACACGTCCCACGGCCTCCCGTTCTACACGCGGTCGTTTCCAGTCGCCTGGACTGAGGCTCGGAGCGGGAGCCGTAGCTCGTGCTCCCACCTGTGATGAGATAGCCCATCTGGAAGATGAAGGAGAAGACGACGGACCCCAGCGTGCCGCCGGCCACCAGCAGCGTCAGGTACAGCACGGCCACGCAGATGATGGAGTGGATCACCAGCAGTGCTGAAGGTGGGAGGCAGCATGGTAAGTGGCTGGGCTGACCATCTGGATGGGGTACAGGCATCAACAGTGATGAAGAGTAAGCAGGGTGGTCCAGTGAGCAGAGGTGCAAATTAGCATTGGCATTAGGTGGCCATCTTGCAAGTGATTTAATGTTCAACATATGGTGCACAAACATCACACAAGATCAACAGCCAACATATTTCAATTCATGGTGCATACCATGAGTTTGTGTCCCACATGATGTACCTTATTGGAAAAAATGATAACATAAAAATGTGATGGAATATACCACACAGTGAAATCACAGATCTCAGGTATACTACACAATGAAGAACACAATCACCAGCTGCAACTCACCAAAGTTAAAGTAGAATAGCCACAGGCCAGAGAGTATGAAGAATATATGCTGCACTGTCGGTGATTGATCGCGCATTGTGTACCGATGCACAATGGCCAGCGGATAGCCTGTGGGGCAGATATATGCTAGCAATAGATGGTGTGCCAGTGGACATCTTGCATGCTTGCACATCAAGACAGGAGTGGAAAGAGTTATACATTTTGATCAATTGGCATATCAATGAAGCTAGATTCCAAGCAGACACTTATATCAAGCATCTGCCAGAGGTTCATCTGTTTAAGCTTCCCACACACTTGGCTAATCTGATGGTTGGACCAGGTGAGGACAGTGTGGAAAGGCTCACTGAACATCTGTCAGCTGCCCACATCATTGCATGGTCAAAAGGAGCCCTCTGGATGCTTGGGCAATTGCTTGGTAGGTATCAGCACATACCTATACATGTACCTCATACTGTGAACTGGCACTACAATGCTTGGAGGTGGGTTCATGGCCAGTGGACATGTCAGTGAACCTATGTGGACTGTGGACACAGTTCAGAATGAACAGGCTGCACTTTGGGTATAATCAGCCTCATACACTGCAGTCTGCAAAAGAATACATTCAACCCTGACATTCATTCTGGCACACAGTTAGGGAACAAAAGTAGGAGAGCACTTCAATATACACCAGGAAATAAAAATGTCATGAAATACATATGAAACAGCTTCACCATCAGAAAGTTATTGTATGATGTCTGGCACAATGCTATTAACATACAGATCCCTGGACAAATGCAATCAAACAAGTTAGCATGGATCATCAAAATGAAAACCTATCTACCCAAGATATCTAAGGATGCACAAGAAACTTCCATCTCATGTAACCAAACAGAAGGATGCTAAGCAAGGGGGAAAGTAGCATTAACATAAAAGTGGATAAACCTCATATGAGGCTGTAATGAACATCAATCACATATGAGGACAAGCATTTGTAAATAAAATAACCATTTATGCATGTCTATAAACTATTCTCAGACAAATCCCTCTAATCATAACTTACCAAACAGGAGAGAAAGAAGAAGACGGAGAGCAGGTTCTGTGGCCCCAATGTAGCCAGCTAGAACTGCTATCAACCCTGGTGATGTCATCATGAAGATTTATGGAAACCTGGAACACAGGCACATTGAGAGTACAGATGAGGCATTTGTCTAATGCCTGAAATACCATGCACTTGAAAAAGTGGCAGTACATTTTGCACTACCTGCAGCCCACTTCCATTCAAAATTAATTGTTGATTAGTTAAGTCATGTATGAAACTACATGCTAAAAGGTACTGCCGAAATTTTTGTCTGTTTTGGTTTTGTGTTGTATGTTCAAAACACAACAATAGCACTGTAAGACCAAAAGTTACTGGGGTCTGGGCCCCACTGACTCAAAAAGTCACCAAGCTCATTAGTTCAATACATGTTTACCCAGGTTTTGAAGCCATGCATCACCTTAATGAACACAAGTGATGAATGAGTGCTGATGACCACCCAAAAATACACATATGCACGCGGGAATTTCTGATGTCAGTGGTAAACCTGGTTCGCGCGCGCACACACCCGCACGGCCGAGCGTGGCGCAGCGGAGACGTTCCTTGATGTGGAGAAATACAAAATGTGCGCAAAGTGCACACAACACACGAATTGCACCAGCGAACAATCAGTCCGAGAAATTCTTAACCTTGTCCACATCTAACAAAAGCTAAACGACGTCTGGTCCACAAAGTTCACCAAACAATCGCCGTTCCCAACCCTACAATACCCCTCAATGTAAACAGCTGATTGGTGCGGGATGCTGCTGCAGTATTTGCTACCATATCTCACATGTCTTTCTGCGCATGAAGGAATTATTGCTGACTGGAAACAGCTGGAGGTGCGGACAGAGGGAAAAGGGTAACGTGGAGGAACCAAAGCGTAATTTTGGAGCTCAAACCAATGCAGCGATGCCACCATGAGTCCACCCTCGCCTTAACGGCAAAGGAGCGTATACATTATTATTTCCCCCGCCACTGCAACCTCAAATTTGGAAGTGTGCAATATAAATTATGCGGTACTATAGGTTACAAGTCATACTAAGACCGTTCCTGCCGTTTCCTATTTATTCTTAGTTCCTTCACTCCCCCTTCAGGAAAAAGCGAAGGAACAAAACCTTCTCTGGCGTCCCATTGTTACGACGTCCGTAACTGTAAGGTAGTTGCCATTTATAATGCCGCATTTTCAATCATCTAACGCTAACCACAGTTCAGCGTATGTTTGGGGCATGCAATAAATGGTTAATGCACTGTAGCATACGATATGACGGAGTCGCGTCGTGAAAATCCGGCGTTCGGTGCGCCAAGAATTACGATGCCACTTCGCACCAAAGTTCCTGCGCCCGCCTATGTTACATCATGCCTGTGGGCTCACCTGACCGTGGCAACTGATAAGTGGAGCCCAAAGGGCTACACAGATTAACACCATCTGGTGCCTCGTTTGACACATCACGAGCAGATGATAGACGAACATGACGCTTGATAAAACCGAGGCGAACACGTGAGTGTAATTGGGGCTTCACGACGCACTCAGCTGCTGAAACTATACGGCGCCATTTGTCTCTCACCCTGGCGGGAAGGGCGGATACCGCGGAGAACCCAATCCTGTACCTCTGTTTTCCCACGCGCGTAGCTTACCCACTACGCTATTGGTTCCCCGGGATACGTGAGTGTAACCACTAGCCAGACGATACTTGACCACTTAAATGAGTCCCACCCAAAAATATGTACACATAATCCAGTAGCCAATACTATCAGACAAATATGTAATTGTCAACATTTAGTGTATCTGTGGGTCATGGAACAGATGACCGTTATTTGCATGCTGCACAGGCAAACTAAGCCGGGGCCAACCCGTCCCATGACGTAACTTAGTTCTGATCAGGGGCATGGGGAGAGCAAAAATAAATATTTCAGCACATCAGGCATGTGCTTGCGTCCGCCCAATATTGATGTACCGTCTAGTCTTATTGCCTTTTCGCACTCGGGCAAATTTGTATCCATTTAATTTACAGAAGGGCTGACCTCGGACCTAGTCATACTCGTTTGAAAAACCGAGTGCTCTTATTCTTCTATGGACTTATCCGTTAAAGGCTCTGACTAAGAGCAAGGCTTAACGATTCTAATGACATGAGACCCGCGTGCCTAACATCATCTTGTCATTTAAGTTACAGCAATGGCTGAAACCTACAATTTCGGAGCAAAACACGTGTTGAAATATAGGGTAATTGAAGTTGGCACAGAAAATATTAGCTTATGCCCACATTTCTAACGGTATTTTGCTTTTGCTAACTCAGTTACTTAGTTTTGCTCTGTGCGTCTTTAGAAGCATATGGTCTCAGCAGTCAGAGCGGATGAAGGCGCGACACCACCTACAGGGTGGAGGTGAATGTATCGGCTGTGATTCGCCAACACACAGCTGTTCAACCAATCAGCGCGTGAACAGTTGACCGGCAAACGGCCAACGCCATCTTTTCCGACTACGATCAAGAATAGAACACGTCATGGCTTAAACCAGCAGAGATTGCGTCATCGCAGGTTCACAGGAAAGTCTTCTTGTTCATTTTGATTCCCTGCTTCTAAAGAAACGTATTTCCTCCGAAGAATCCGGTCATAAGTCCTAAACTGTGAATTACTGCAAATCTGTCAATTTCGTGCATGCAAATTGCCGAACCTGTCCAGACATGGAGCCCCAATTTTCAGAAGAATCCAGCCATAGATCCGAAACCGTGAACCACTGCAAGTCTGTCAATTTCGTCCACGCAAATTGCCGAACCCGTCCAGACAGGTGGCCCCTAATTTTCAAAAGATATTTCCAATCCACTACGATTTTAGCTCAACTGATCATATCGCAAATCTTATTTGTAAATGAGCGTTCCAATGCAATCACATGGGACCTCCACCCGTTGAACTCACACGAAAGGCAAAGGACCAGCGCGTTGCCAAACCAGTCGGTATGGGTTGCCAAAGTCTCCAATTGCACAATTTTTGACACCATGGGCATGACAAAAATTTTGAACTCTCACGAGCGCTCTCTCCTCGTTTGCCCCGCACCCCATAGAACGTCTTACTGTGTAAAATAGAGGCGGCGGACGGTGACAAGAAGCCTGCTGCCGCAGTCGTACAGCACGTGCTACTGAAAAACGTGCCATAGAGCTTGCATGCACAAAATGAGCGAGGGGTTTGTGACATCAGTGAAAGGGCACATACCAAAGCTTGCGCGAATATACATCACACAAACATCCAAAGGCGTTATCTAAAAAGTTAAAGTTGCAATTAGTTGCGATCAGAATTACAAAGCACAGCAAATGTTATCGTGGTGAAATGATAACATCAATGAAATGTTAACGTGTTTCACACGCTCTCCGTATTGGTTATAACAGAGATTATACTCCACCCAAACGCGCCGGATGCGCGATCGTCCCGCAGCGGTAAAGCAACCAACAACCGTGAACCTGCCTCTACCATCAAGTAATAAGCCTGAAATGCTCATAGTATAAATCCACTATGAACGTAACGCGTCTTTTGACTGCGCTGGTACTCCAGATTACGATTTCTTTGACAAATACGACTATACGAGTTGCTTACTTACTGGAGACTGCTTTCGTCACATCGAGATGTGAGTACTGCCTTGCAGGTCAGTGTATTTACACGCGATATCGATGTATGGTTGATGTTGGCGTCAAATTGATCGCTCACACTCATGATATCGTTTAACTGCTACTTGTTTGCTGCTGTAACTATGCGCCAAATCATCCAACAGGAGCAAAACAGAACTTGTGAGACGTTTCTACACCAGAAGCCATAATTGCAGCATTTCAACGTTTCTAATGCGATGGACTTAATCTAAATCAGTCATACACGGATAATGCAAGTAATCAACTCAGCTTTTGGAACGTTAATGCTTCTCCACTAAACCCATGTAGTTTGTGACGTATGTGGACGAATGTAAGTACCTTGGCTTCCTTCTGTCTGATGTGTTTTGTGACATGTCTAAGATGCAGGAGCAAGTTCGTCTGTCATGCTGCCAAACGACCCTCTTGTCCGTTAATTTTTCCATGCGCCTCTACTCCGCCAAAAACCTTTATTTATGACGCATTGCTCCACTGTAAATTGTGTTCACATGTGGCTTACGTAAGATGTCAATGTTCTTAAGAAGTTCAAGGTAAGCCTAAACGGTGCAGCCGGGACATTGTTCGGTTTTAAAATAGTCTGTAGTGCTTTCGTCATGAGCGTGTCAAAGCGCATTGACAACAATGAAATGATGCATATAATGGTGGCTTAGGGCTTTGTACCAGCGCCCCGGCAATTCGTGTAATCATATCATGATATCTCTCGCTGGAAGTGCTTTCATAACAAACTTGCTGTAAACGGCGTCCTGGAATCCAGCTCTACTTACCTTGTTGCGTAATCTTATTTCAGACCACGAACCTGTGAAAACAGTGATGTCTCCTCTCTCTCATGTAACTTTGAGGGCACTTGGATTTAGTCGCGATCTTAAGTTACAAATGGAATTTTCCCCAACACACATAATCTTTGAAGACATGGTATCGACACTTCTGCAACAGACCTTAACAATGAAAATACATTTATGTCGTTTTGCGTCTGCCTTACAGGGGCGCATGAAACATTTTCCCACAGGATGGGGGGGGGAGGGGGGAACTCAGTGAGAATGCATTACGCTGTTGTGTTAATTTGCTGCCAGGGGGCATCTCTGGTGAAAGATGAACAAAGGTGTGTCTCGGAGAGGGAGGGAGGGGGGGGGGCTCATCTGTGATGCCTTGCCCCTGAGACCCGACACCAGTTGTTGGCGCGTTTGGTTAGGACAGGGTAACTTGTGCTTATTTATGGCATGACTGCGGACGAGCCGCACAACTTATTAACTACATAAGTAAATACCTAACCTGTGCCCGTGCCGGATCCGGCGCTCCAGGTAATAAATCAGACCCTCAGACCTGTCGGCTCCGAACCCGCATTCACTGATGTTATCCCCGCGTTAGGGGCAGCGAGGGGGCATAAAGGAAGTAATAAAACGTCATCCAGAATCAATAACTTTTGCGTTACTCCGTCACGTTACATGCAACGAACGAGCCTGCAACATCCTTCCCTGTTATTATCCGCTGGAGGCTACTTTGCTCTTCACCTGAACACCTAAAAGTTCACAGCTCCGTCTACCGCAGTGCGTTCGCTAGAATCGCTCACCTGCCACTTGTGTCAGCACGGCCCGCCCTGCTCAGCCTCGTGCAGCTGGTGTACAAACAACCCTCTGCTGGCTCCGCCGTCGGGCGCGCCGCGCACTTTGACCGCGAGCGGCGCCACCGTCGCCCGACCCGCCGTGCCCGACGCGGCCTGCCCAGAATGCGCTGACCCTGCGGAGGACTCACCGGTCGCCGCCCGTCTGTTTATTTCAGTCGCACCCGGCGTAGTGGCTGGCAGCGGCGGCGCCAGGGGGCGGACCAGGACTTTGACGTGTGCTGATGGTGACGTTGGTCGGTCGCGGGCGCTTCGGAAGCCGCGCCGCGGTCTCTGGCCGTTGCGCCAGTGAGATCGTTTCAGTCGTTCAGTGACCCCATGAGCTGCAGTTTGCTGCGTAGCCCGTGATAACGCGTGACAGGGATGACCGCTGCCAGCATGCCAGTTGGCCGAGTGCACTCTCTATGCGCACTCACTGTTTGGCTCCTGGCTTTGCTGAATGGTAACGTGGGCTGCCCTACAGGAGGGGCTGTCAGCCGATAGCGTCAATGCCGGCGAGCGCTCTGAGGAAATGATGGACAGACGCGACGTTGGCGCGTTTCCTTTTATGCAGCTACCGTTAATATTTAGTTTTGCTAGAAAAGGTGAGGTCCTTCAATGTGCCAACCCAGGAGACGAATTCCCAGTGCCGTGATATCTCCCTCATCATGAGTTAGAAAATATTCGCAGTCAATAGGACATTCAAGATAGAAAGATGGCAATGGTCAAAAGAGCGCCCTTTCGACCCACTCTTCTGCAAAGCCCTGCTGAAACGACGAAAAGTCCCTCCCTGCTCATATACCAATGCACACTGCTGGCACGTACGGCGGCCTGCTCTCCGCCAGGCTGTACCAAATACAACCGTCTTGTGCCCTCTGGTCTGATGTGTCCCTGGCTGAAAGGCATGACTACGCAAGGTCACGGATCAATCAGGAGACACCGAGTGTCTACGATCAGATTAGACTGATTCGCTGTTACCCAGCCAACGATTTATCGTGGCTCAAGCCGGGAAGGTTTTTGTGGCAGCACAGTCCGGTCTGGAGTCTAGCAGAACGTACCTAGTCCCTTGCTAGAACGTATTTATTTGTGATTCGCCCACCTAGAACCCAGCTTGCACCCAGATGGGCTTGCAGTGTGATTTCTACAGCAAATGCCGTTGCAGAGTGCGGGTAGGATATCAATGGGCCACAAGTCTATCCCATCACACCAGAATTCAAATTCTGGAGCCGCATTTAGCAGCGGTCGCAACACAGTGCCGTTCGCGCCGGTGGTGATGTCGGCCACGTGGATGACGTCACACGAGGCCGCTGTTTTCCGTGTGAAGTGGGAAGCCTACTCAAAGTGAGATAAGCCCTACACAGATACAGGCAGACTGACTCCCTCTGTGCTAGGAGCACCATCGTCAATGTGACAACGCATGCGTAATACCAGGTTAGCTCCGAAGTTATATTTAAACCACGTGTATACTTTAACCATGCGTATACTTGAACCGTGTATAAATTTGAAGCATTCGTACATTTGGACCATGCGTATATTTAAACCATGCATATATTTGAGCAGCGTTGAGGAGGCTACACGCTTCCTGGTGAGATAAAGGAGCCAAATGGACATTCTATTGATGATCTAATAGTCACTTTTTTCTAAAAAAAAATAGCGCTCCACATTTACATGGGTTTTGAACTAAAATAGCCATCCTAAGAACATTAGGTGCAGTTCACTGCCCTGATCTTCTCAAGACCTTAACCCCCCTAGCTTCTGAGCTACACACCCACAAAGATCGGCAGACTATTTCAAGGTCACCCATACACCCATGACGCCATAAGAACGTCATTCAAATCCTGTCATTCCATTAGCCATGCGGCGATCAAGGCCAAGAATAGCAAAATTATCAAGTCGTTCGTATCTGGCGTTCGAGAACACGATCTCCAGATATAGCGGCCTTCAATCAGCTCTCAATCAATGTTGAGCAAAGTGCGATGATGCCATCAAGAAATGACGCATCGAGCAGCATATTTACTAAAGAGAGAAAGCATGTTGGTTGGAGCAGTCTTTTTTACTTAACAGATACTTTTAATCATAAGTCAGATTTGTGGGTCATAATTAATGCCTGTTTCAAGGTCTCAAAATGTGCAACGTTTCCTTTAAATTCGCTCGCGTTTTCAGAGAAGCATTTTGTTTGTAAAGTGTAAAAAACGTGGAATTCCTAGTTTTCAAACGCTACTATTTGTTTCACTTGGTCTATGTAAAAGTGGAAAATATTTGCCATGCTCTCAAGCGTGGAAAATGCTTTAGTTAGCACCATGTTAGCACCGATCGCGCGCCATGGCGCCGTCAATTGCACCAAACTGATAGTCGGCTGGAATCGGTAAATCTTCCCTTGTGTCAAATAAGTGGAAATACGTATTAGGGCAGTGTTCATATGGTGGCAACTCACCAGACCGTGACATGCATGCTTTCGGTACGTCAACATATATTTTCACCGGCTATTTGGAGTGTTGGGGCTGCACAAAAGTTTTCAGCCGATGCGATTCCATGAAGCATTTTCTGTTTGGGCGGTACAAAAGCAAAAGAGCACATGCTTATCATTCTGCCCAAAAAAAGTTCAATTGACTTAATCCACAAGAAAAAGTTGGGAATACGTGCATTTATTTACAAACTCTGTCTGTTCCGCAGTCATGTTCTCTGAGAGGAGGCCAAGAGAATACTCGTTATTGTCCCCTCCTCAGCTTCGGCCACCCCTGGTAGCAATTGTGGCTGCCTTTAGTAACTTAAAAGTGGGGTTTTGAAAATGACTCAGTTCATCCCACCTTGCCCTTACTTATAATCGACTGTAAGGGCTATATCATAAATGCTTTACTTTTTCATGAGTAGACACTGAAAGAACTTTCAGCGAGAGATTGTAAAAACACAGCACCAGTCCCAATTTATTGCCCGTTTTTATTACCCCTTGAAGCGTACGCATCTGCTCGTAAACGCTCGCAGGGAGAACATTGTACAAGTCCACAGGGTGCAAAGCCATTACAGCTGTTGCGTGCTATATCATATAACCTGGCTGGAGGTCAGTGACCTTCACCGCTACCGGCATCGCCCGAGAGAACGCGTACTGTGCGGCAGCGACGAATCGATCAGCTTTCTGGACGTTTTTCTAACAGGGCTGAATCTGTTCTAGTGTTGCGAAAACGCGAGTGCCGTGCCCAGTAACGTGCCATGGCTGTAGTAAGGCGCACTCACGAGTATTTGGATTGCTTTCTTTCCATGCAAAGCAGTCGTGTCATGTCTTTCCGCTTGCAACAGGGCGGTTACAAAAATGCGTCAACGTCAACGCTTAACAGTCAAGTTCCTCTAGACCACATGGAGCATTCTCTTTGGAATGAGGATGTTCTCCAATCACCAACATCAGAACTGTAGTTGGCGGAATTTTCAATGCAAATGTCGTTGAAATTCTGCATAAAGCGCCTTTTATCGCTGATTAGTCATTTAGCTCGATGTCTCAAGGAGTGACACCTTACAGAAGGATCAAACGTGTCAGCTCACGGGATACTCCTGTTAATTCTCCAAGTGACAAACGTAAAACTCTGGATCGCAGTCAGGTCGTAGTGACACATCTGCCAAGTTTTAAAGAGCTTATTGACGCCCACTTGTGCGCCATACCACAATGAGATCGCGTCCACAAATGTTTGATGCAGATTTGATATTTACAAAGTGGCTGCACCTTGAAAGAAAATGAGAAACAAGAATATGATGCAAAGAGTTACGTAATCAACGTTGGAACATGCTCACCGAGCACAGAAAATGAGACACGTCGGCGCCAGTGGTGATAGCGGGTCAGGGGCGGCCGTTCCTGGTCTCTAAGAAAGCGACAGGGACACTCCTAAAGCGCCTCGAAAAATGCATCGACAGTTTTGATGCCCGTTTTGAGTATAAACTAATATGACCGTCAGTAATGGAATGATGAGTTCGGCTTTGTAAATTTTACTTCACGGCGCACATGTGCCGCGTTGTTGCGTTTTATGCGCTAACGAAGAATTGCCGGAAAGTGTCTTTATTCTAGACATGATGCATCCCTCACTGGCTTCAATCTCTACGTCTCCACTGACATCCTACATGACAATTTAGGTTATCCTTATATTCTAAATAATCCTAGTTGCTTTTCGCTGTGCTCTATCAAACCTATCTATGTCTTTTTGAAAGCATGGGCACCGAGCCTGTACACAATACTCTGGGCGTGGTCTGACATGAGCCAAGAACGAATTTTTGACAACATTTCTTCTCTTGTAAAGGACATCCATGTTGATAAAACCCAGCATCCAAAGCGCCTTGCTCCTCTGCTCTTGTGCTCATACGCGTGCTCTGGAGTCGATACCGCCCAAATCGAGCAATTCTACATTCGCTTAAAGCTGCACGAGATTAGCGATTCAAAACTGCTCTGCCTTTTCGGAACATCAAACCGGGTTCAAAATACACCACATTGCAGAAGCATGCACCTGTTTGGTAATCCGAACCAGATGTACCATGCCTAGTTATTTCCACAACAGGCCATGACTCTCACGCATCAGAAGAGCATTCGCCACGGAAAAATGTGCCGAGTGCCGCAATTTTTACCAGCTGTGAGATATCTTACACCGGACAAAGTTGAGTGTACTTAACTTGGAGTGCTCCGCGTCGCACGTAAAGCGCGGGGCGCTGACGAGGTCCTGAGAGCCCTGGCGACGGAGTAGCTCATGAGCGTCAAGTGACTGAAATCCGTTGACATGGGAACCCCATCGCACGGATATGAGGAAACCAACCAGATGAGGCCTGCCGGGACCGCAATGGACTGGACGAATCGGGCGGGATCGAACAAGACCGGATGAGACCGGACGGGACCGGACGTGGCCGGACAGAACCGACTGGGACAGGGCGGGCCAGGACAATAGGAACCAGTCAAAACCGAGACCTCATGACAACGGCGACCCATGCGGGCACGGCGGGGCTGGGTAGAATCAGATGGATACGGAGCCTACCGCACCAGGTGAAGCCGGACGGGAACAAGCGGGACCGGGCTTGACCCCACTGAACTGGACCCGACCTGACCGGACCGGACCGGACCGGATCAAGTCTGGACCCGTCCAGACTCACCCAGTCCACTCCGGTTCCGTCTAGCTTCGTCCAGTCTTGTCTGGTCTCGTCTGATCGTGTCAGATTTGATCCAGTCTCGTCCTTTCCTGTACGATCGCATCGTCTTTCCAGTCTCCACAGACTCATCTCGATCTGTCTGTTCAGTCTCGCAGACGTCTAGCCGGCCACCGCGTGTTGTCAGCATGGGAAAATTTGGGAGGGTTAGACTCCGGGAGGCTTTAATCATGTTGAACCTGGTTGTTTGCAGAAAATATGTGCTTAATTTGGCCCATTCAGTCGTTTTGTTTTGCGCACCAAAGAAGACAATGTATTTGGTATGCAAATGTCTGTTGTGGCAGTTTTTCACAACAAAGATTGAAATGTTTGCCGCGGAGCTAGGAATATGGTAGCTCCAATTGTAGCGTGCTAATACTGCGCAGCATCTACAATTTACGCCGTGTGGGGCCAAATGTCCCAGAGCGAAGAGGGGGCGGACCGATGAGCTCCTCTTTCAAGGTATGTCGTAGCGGTGTTATGGAGGAATGTTCAACTAACGAGTTGTGATATAAACATTCTGTGGGGTGGAGCTACTGCACAACTCAAAGGCCAGTTGGAGGAGACTGTGGATAGGTGGAATCGCCCCCTGGCAGGCTACTCTGTGCATTGATTCGTCGATTTGTTACAACTAAGTAGGACTGCTGGGTTAGGTAGCCGTCTGAACTGCAGGATGGGAAAATAATATACCAGTGGAAGGCAGACCTTTAAGTCTTCATTGTATTTTATTCCCTCGTACCACTAGGCTCCACCTGTTTCATTAGACTGGACTTCTGGCTTTGAAATTCCATCTGGGTGCATACTGGATGCCTGTGCTGGATGGGTACACTTGTCTTAGATCTAGAATTGAGGTAGCGACTTAAGCAATTTGTCATTGTTGGGTGCTTATATCCATGCATTTTCTGTGTGCCTTACATATGGGTGTTGTCTCCTTTCCATATAATTACTGTAGACAGGGATCACTTGATATGCTGTGGTAAGTTGACAGGAGCCTAAATTTGTTCTGAAAGTTTAAATTTTTATGGTTTGTCAAAAATGTATGTTTTCCCGTTTCTTTCAACCATTTCATGTTCTTTTTAACATTAGGTACCAATGTGTACCTATGCTCTACCCTGTGGGGTGAGCATATGTGTACTGTCGTACTATAATTGTAAGCCATTTTTGTTCCAAATTTTCAAGGTGACTCATTCTTGATGCACTGTTTTAGTAATAATGAAAGAAATGTGATATTTTGAAGTGATAACTGTGCAAAAATTACATAAACCAATCTCAGCTATAACTGAAATGATTTAGCAGTCCACATATTTCATACAAGGTGTATGTGTGTATGTCATCTGAGACATGTTGGTGTCAATGGGGACCAACTTTTGTATATATAGCCCAGGGAATCAGTATCATGCTTACAAAGTGATGATCCAAGTGCTGCCTGCACAGCTGCAGCAGTATGGGTTGTGAGCATCTCACTCATGGTGAAGAAATCTTTGGTGGCACAGAACATATGTTATTGCATGTAAGCCACTATCCATTGCAGTTAACCTGTTTGCTGTTTCTTTTGGTGTCATGTTTGTGGTGCTATCATTTAACATGAAATATTTTTTTCAGGTTGAGGGAAGCTACTTCTGCAGCCTGTCTCTTCCACCTTTTCAAGCATACATTTTTGCTTCAGCTCATGAGAATTTTCAGTCAACAGTATCTGACATTGTGGCAATCAATGCACATGTCTGTATGAAGCATGGCAGCAGCACAGATGCTTCGGGCAGCAACCTCATTATGACTGTTTGGTCATATTTTCAGCAGCAATCACGAGCAAGACCAGGAAAATACCACCATTGCCAACTTGTGAAGCCTGGAACATTTCCTGAATTCGCTCATTGAAAAAGCATCAGAATCTCATCAGTACAAGGTGGAAGAGTCGATAAGATGCGCTTATTTCCGCCTGCCCGACTAGAGTACTGTGTTTTTATAATTGTCTTATGGTGTGCACTGGTCACTATTGTGTTCATTCTATATGGTGAGGACCAAGTGCAGAGCAAAACACTGCAAGAGACGACCAAATGTCCGGTCTGCTTCGGTGACACCAGCTGCTTCATGCTACACTCGAGCAACATGCACGTGGTCAAGCTGACCGGCCTCTCCAAGGTCTCGCTCTTCAACTACATCAACGTGAAGAACGTCTTCTACGGCAAGTACAAAGGCAGCGACATCGTGCTGAAGAAGCTGGCGCACGACGCCGAGTTCCGACAGTTCGACCAGCTGGTCTGCAACGGCTCGCTGCGCTGTCAGCCTCGCGTCCACTTCTACCGGGGCCTGCTGCGCACTGTCTTCCCGGAGCTGGCGGCCGACGGCTCGGCCGCGCTGGCGCTGGCGCCCGACGTCAGCGCCAGGTTCGAGCGCGAGCAGCTCACCTGCCCCTCCCGGCGCTTCCTCAAGTTCCTGTACGACGCGTTTTCGGGGCAGTCGGAGCTCAGGTTCTACCACTTCGCCACGATGCTGCTTGTGAACGCCGAGCCGCTGATGCTGCAGGTGAGCCGATCATGTCGGTATCCGACTCGTACTGGCAATTCGAAATCGTAGGAGCTCTTGGCATCCTACCGCCTGCTGTTGGTGTGACAGAGGGGTTTTATGTTATTTTTCCCGGATGAACAACAGCACTGATACGTTTAGGCTACCGTAGCATAGTTGTAGAACGAGCTTGGAATGGTGGTTTCATTCACATCGTTACATTGTCAGATGCTTTACGAAGTGCGTGATCCTTTCTGTAAAGGAGGCGTCATTGCCTAACCATAACTCATGAATTAATTACCCCATGCATTCAGGCTTTAAGCTCCTCTCCCCAGCTATTCGTAGCAGGTGGGGTGCCCCTGGACTGAGTCGTCACGGCCCGACCAGTGTGGTCGGGCGCCTCCACCCGCTAGAGGCGCCGGCTAACGCTACACCAGACGCGCCGGCACACGAGACAGTGCGCTCTCTGACGTCATACGCCCTTATCCGGTGGCCAGGCGTTTCCCCAGTCACACGGCTGGCCGTTTCCACGCTATCTGGGTGCCTGCGGCCGGCTGGTGCTCGAGCAATACATCGGGCCCACGCTGGCGCGCTACCACGGCGCCTCCTGGCGGCAACGTGTGGAGCTGGCCCTGCAGGTGGGTCCGCCGCCTGCCGCATTATCACGCGGCGCGTGGCGTCGGCGAGGTAAAGTGTAACTGGTGAATCTTGCCCTTGTTTGTCTGTAAGGGAGCCTGCGGCTTGCGATGATGTTTTGGCTGTTATTGTCACTGAGATATTTGGTCTTGGTAAGACCACATGCAGTTTGCTTCAAGTGCCTCGCCGTGCGTAGTAACAGGCCCGGTGTTTCCACCCAGCTGCTGGAGATAGCGGAGATGCTGACATCTAACGACTACGACTTCAACTTGTACTTGACGGACGTGACGGCCGAGAATCTGGCGGTGGACTCGGAGGGCCGCGTGTTTATTGTGGACGTGGAGGACGTGGTTGTGGTCGACAGACAACAGCTGATGAGGGGTGAGTCAAGCGCTTGACGCTCTATCCAGTGACGGGGGGAGCTCTGGGCGTAGACGGCGGGTTAGGCTCGAGTTAGGTCAGAAGTGTTGGTCACCGCTTGGGATGGCGATCGCTCATCATCATCATCACGTCATCTTCTCATCTGTCATCTTCGCTGGCGATTGATTTGCCACTGCACAGGCGTGTTACGTTATGGGGACTAGAATCAAGTGTCGTCAGGTGCGTTCCACGAGCAAAGGCCACGCCGGTTTTTGACACCAGGGGCGAGTGTCCACCTCCACACGTGACTGTTTTCAGACCAGCCCCCCGGCTGGAACCGAACGCACGTGGCCCCGATCCTGTGCGCCGACTGCATGGGGTACGAGGCGGACGAGCTGTGCGGCCATCTCGTCTCCGACCACAACTACTTCGCCATGTGCAAGGTACGCCTCCGGCAGTTACAGCGGGGCACTCGACAGGGTGGTGAGGTACCCGGCAGTTACAGTGGGGCACTCGACAGGGTGGTGAGGTACCCGGCAGTTACAGTGGGGCACTCAACAGGGTGGTGAGGTACCCGGCAGTTACAGGGGGGCATTCGACAGGGCGCTGAAATACCCGGCAGTCACAGCGGGGCACTCGACAGGGTGGTGAGGTACCCGGCGGTCACAGCGGGGCGCTCGACAGGGTGGTGAGATACCCGGCAGTCACAGGGTGGTGAGGTACCCAGCAGTGGCAGCGGGGCACTCGACAGGGTGGTGAGGTACCCGGCAGTCACAGCGGGGCACTCGACAGGGTGGTGAGGTACCCGGCAGTTACAGCGGGGCACTCGACAGGGTGGTGAGGTACCCGGCAGTCACAGCGGGGCACTCGACAGGGTGGTGAGGTACCCGGCAGTCACAGGGTGGTGAGGTACCCAGCAGTGGCAGCGGGGCACTCGACAGGGTGGTGAGGTACGCAGCAGTCACAGCGGGGCACTCTACAGGGTGGTAAGGTACCCGGCAGTCACAGCGGGGCACTCGACAGGGTGGTGAGGTACCCGGCAGTCACAGGGTGGTGAGGTACCCAGCAGTGGCAGCGGGGCACTCGACAGGGTGGTGAGGTGCCCGGCAGTGACAGCGGGGCACTCTACAGGGTGGTAAGGTACCCGGCAGTCACAGCGGGGCACTCGACAGGGTGGTAAGGTACCCGGCAGTCACAGCGGGGCGCTCGACAGGGTGGTGAGGTACCCGGCAGTCACAGGGTGGTGAGGTACCCAGAAGTGACAGCGGGGCACTCGACAGGGTGGTGAGGTGCCCGGCAGTCACAGCGGGGATCTCGACAGGGTGGTGAGGTACCCGGCAGTGACAGCGGGGCACTCGACAGGGTGGTGAGGTACCCGGCAGTGACAGCGGGGCACTCGACAGGGTGGTGAGGTACCCGGCAGTCACAGCGGGGCACTCGACAGGGTGGTGAGGTACCCGGCAATCACAGCGGGGATCTCGACAGGGTGGTGAGGTACCCGGCAGTGACAGCGGGGATCTCGACAGGGTGGTGAGGTACCCGGCAGTCACAGCGGGGATCTCGACAGGGTGGTGAGGTACCCGGCAGTGACAGCGGGGCACTCGACAGGGTGGTGAGGTACCCGGCAGTCACAGCGGGGCACTCGACAGGGTGGTGAGGTACCCGGCAGTCACAGCGGGGATCTCGACAGGGTGGTGAGATACCCGGCAGTGACAGCGGGGCACTCGACAGGGTGGTGAGGTACCCGGCAGTCGCAGCGGGGCACTCGATATCGGATTGATGTTGACTGAGAATACGCTGCAGGTAATGCTGACGGAGCGCTTCCGTTTAGATGGGATGCGGTGAACAGTAATAACGGATCTGGGTTTAGCACCACATGTTGATTGACAACCTGATAGCTCAGCTTTAATGTAATGCCGATACAAAAATGAGCATCCGAATGACGGTTTCTGTAATATTCGTATCCAGCTGGATGTTTTACGGCCGTGTAATAAGCCTGTGACCGCCAGACGTCGCCCCCCCCCCCTCCCCCCCCCCCCGGCTGACTTCCCGTGCGTGGCAGGGTCTGCTCGCCCCAGACGCGTTCGCACGCGGTCTGCCGGGTGGTCTGCTGCACAGCGTGCCGGAGCTGGTAAGCTCCACCCACCCGGAGCTGGCCGACTGGCTCCGCCTCTGCGCCGACCCGACGGCCACCGGCGGCTCGCGGTTCGGCCCGGCCGCCGAGCTGCGGCACGCGCTCAACCGGGCGTTGGCGGAGGAGGGCACCGACTGACCGGGTGTCACGGCTGGTGGGGTGTCTGACCGGGTGTTGGCGGAGGGGGGACACCACCTGAGCGGGTGTCACGTCTGGTGGGGCACATGACCGGGTGTTGGTGGAGGAGGGCACGTGAGGGCACGTGACCGGGGGGGGGGGGGGAGACGCAGCACCGGACGAGCCGACGGACACGTGACCGGACGGGCGGACGGCGGAAGTGGCGGTTTGACGAGTGGGCGGAGAAATCAGCACGGACGATGAAGGGGATGAGCACGCTCGGCCCTGTGGACTTGCGGACGGGGTTCTGGTTGGGGATGGGTCAGCGAAGGCTGCTGGCGGACGGCAAGGGGCTGGGTGGGCGGTGGAAGGTGAAAATTATAGGGTGACGGCAGCGAAGCACGCCCGTACGTAACGGCCACGAGCTGCTGGCACGGTTGTGGATTAGAATATCAGGGTAAGATAGAGCGTTCTGTTTTGTTTTTTTTTGTACGATGATCTTAGCCGACAATAAGCAACACAGTTTCTCCAGATGTTCAGGTACTTCGCCGGGTGCACGGTTGCAATATGGGAAAATTGTAATATCATTGGAGTCGGTGGCCCGCCTGCACACCGTTCGCAGATGTTTCGATGCAGGACATGGCTGGAGAAGGTGGTTGCTGCGACTGCTGGCAAATATCTGAAAATGAGGAAGAGGTGCTTACGTATGATGCCATTATGTAGACGTGCTGTTTGTACATGATCTTCACCGTTAAAAGACCGCGTATTTGGCATATTTGTATCGGCTTCCGGCCCTAATGGCAAGATGACGGTAGTCCTAGTGCTTCGAAATTATTGGAAAAAGGATCGGACCTCGTCGATAAACGGAAGCACCACGGCTTTGGTGAAAGCTAGCAGAATCGTGGGTCACGTGGAGATGTGACGGGGGCCACTGACCGCTCGGCTGGTGCCGCCAGCGCCAAAGCATCCATTCACCTTTGTGTGTTGTGACGGCATGATTCGAAGTGACTGGCTGCGCCGCGCGATCCCAGCGGGCTGATAGCAGAGCTGTTCCGCAGTAGGTGGTTGGCTGCGCCGCGCGATCCCAGCGGGCTGATAGCAGAGCTGTTTCGCAGTAGGTGGCTGGCTGCGCCGTGCGATCCCAGCTGGCTGATAGCAGGGCTGTTCCGCAGTAGGTGGCTGCGCGGAAGGTTTTCTTTGGGAGTGCAGCATGCGTCGAACCGGGTGAAACCAAGGACATTAGCTTTGATGAACTGTATCCGTTCAGTAAGAAGATGTTTCCCAATCCAGTATGATACGGCTGGGATTGTCAGGCTTCCAGAATGCTTCCAACGCCGTTTGGGGAGCGGGCATGTAGTCCTAAGCAACTATGTGTAGAAGGCTTTAATATTTTGGAAGAAAGTATTGTGTTGATCCATGCAATCCATGTTCGTGGTGCACTGCATTAGGGTCGTCTACTGTTAGCGTGTGAATGGATGGTGGGGGAAGCTGTCATTTGTAGTACTTTTATGGATGTTAGGGCATTGTATAGGTTTGAGCGCTAGGAAAGTGCACACGCATGAGATGTTAGAGGATTATATACGCCTGACACACCCTTTTATGGTCGCCGATGTGTCAAGTACGTGTTCAGCATGCTTTGGGTCTCGGGCCACGCGCGCAAGGTAGGTGTTGACTGCGCCTGTAGCAGCTGCGCCATGGACTCGCCCTGCAGCTGTCAGCAGCAGTCGGCAATCTTGCTGTGGTCTGTAACATGGCCATCTCGTTTCACGGTAGTGGGCCAGTAACGCGGTAGGATGTTCTCACGGCAGTAGCTGTTAGATTAAACCTCCGAACTCGAACTCACGGATTCGGCATGCAATGGAACCTACATCCGGTAAAAAGACGCCCTCCAGACTACGGTGGGTCGCTTTGTGACGCGGTATGGATGACGAGCCCCTGCGTTGTGGCCGTGCGGGGTGTTTCGCAGCAGCCTCTGTTAAAACTGACGCTGAAACATTCCACGCCTCCTCTGCAAGGAATACGGGGGACGATATACCTCACAGCGGTCTTACACTCTCTGACCCTGAGTCTCCACTGTTCCTAGACCTTGCCGAATAGGTGGGTTCGAGGATGGCAACTGACGCAATCCGTGCAATGCACCCTTAGGCCTGCGTTGTTAGGCGGACGGGGGGGGGGGGGGGCGGGGGGTGAAACTTTTGTACCCGGCAAATGTGCATTGAATGTTAGGTGAGATCTCCTATAGTGCGTACACATTGTCCACGTCGTCGTATGTGTTGTGAGACTGTCACCGGCTGTGGCGTTTTGAACAATACAGTGTCAAACAGCAGAGGCATGTCTGTTTCTGCCACGGCTCTCCGGCCGGCGGCGCCGACTGGCGGCGGGCCCGGCGCGGTGCCTCCCGTGTGCACGTGGCGAGCCCATGCCCTAACCGGTCAGCGGCGGGCCTGACGGCACCGACGGCGGCCCGCCGGCAGAGCGGGCCGCGCCCGACACCATGCTATTGACGTGACCCAGCCAGAGCTTCACCCCTGCGACAGAAAGCGAACAGGGAATGACGCCCATTTATTGTACAAATATACCAAAATCAGCGGAACTACCAGGCATCAATAAACTTTGCCTACTTGGTCCCGCACATACCAGTGCATATGACTGGACTCATTTTCGCAAACTATCGTAACAGTGGCGATGTTGTCCGCCAGACGAATCATAAGGCGATGATTGACGGAGCACAGAGCACCAGAACAATCATTGCTAACGGCATCAAATGACTTACGCGTCTAACAGGGCAACCACCAGTTCTCGCAGCACGTGTGCTCTGGCCTAAGAACTCAAGAGAAATAAAAGCAGCGCCCCTGACACGGGTCACTAGGCAATATTTACATTAAGTTCTTCATCGTTATCAGATCTGTAACCAGGTGCTATTTCACACGTACAATCGCACCGCCTTAGCGTGTAACCGTTACGAGGCTATTACTGCAGCACACACGCCAACATCCGCGGAGGACGTTTGACAGCGGCTGACAACCATCCGGCCCGGGCCGGTAGCGGCGACACAGCGGGGCTTAGGGGCCGCCCAGGGCGACGGGTACAGCCAGCGCGTCCCCCCGCCGGACGATCCGGGTCACCCAGCCGTGAGGCCCGCCTCGCGGGGCAGGGCCGGGCCGCAGCGAACCGTGCGCGACACCAGGACCCCGGCTCGGACGGAAGCTGGGCAGACAGCCGACGCTAGAGTATTAAACATAATATCCTCGATGGCACACGCACACACGCCTGACTACCAGAACTAAATTACAAGTTCATAAGGACGCCAGAGACAACGGCGAAGGCCAGATGAACGCCAGGAGCCCAGGCCCCGACCCGTATTCCGACGCCATTTGGAAAATAAGCGCGACACTGTCTTCTCTCCAGGGAACCCCTGTTGTCATCAGAACCGAATGTCGAAAGCCTCCGTGCTGTGGGAGACGCTCCAGCCTGTACTGAGCTGTGGGAGGCGCTCCAGCCTGTGCATTCTGTAGGAGGCGCTTCAGCCCGTACAATGCTGTATGAGGCGCTCCAGCCTGCGCAGTGCTGTTTGAGGCGCTTCAGCCTGTACATGCCGTCGGAGGCGCTCCAGCCTGCGCAGTGCTATAGGAGGCGTTCCAGCCTGTACAACGCTGTAGGAGGCGCTCCAGCCTGTACATGCTACAGGAGGCGCTCCAGCCTGCGCAGTGCAGTGGGAGGCGCTCCAGCCTGGTTCACATCTCGCCGCCCCTCAGACGTACGGAGAGAGAGGGGCGAGCAGTGACTCCCGCCCGTGGTCACCGGAGCCGGAGACGTGCCCCGCCCCCGCCCCCGCCGCCGTCAGCGGTCCGCCCAGCGAGCGCAGCAAGCCATGCGGGGACGACCCGTACCCGGCCATTGTCAGGGGGCACCGGCACCTCCCCACAGCTCAGCCTGGGCACGGGAGACGGGTTCAGCCTTCACGAGGTCGCCCCCGGAGTAGGCTCGTAACGACAGGCGGACTGGAAATGGCGGCGTTCACGGCGCATGGTCCCTTGATCGTCCGGCAACGGCTCCTCCACACGGCCGGGCTGACCGCACAGCGCGCGGATCCGGACTCGGCTCGAGCCCTCTCGTGCCGGGCTGCCGCCGTGTTCGGAGGCGCCGGCAGGACCAGGCCCGGGCGCGTGCTCAGCTGGCGGGCGCCATCACAGGTCACTGTTACGAATGAACCTGTTGCCTTCCGAGTGCTTGCCGATGTACCGGTACGCCAGCTGGCCATAGACCGCTGGAACAGCACCACCGCAATGTTAGCACCGCACCGGCCGGTGGTGCACAGGCGGCGAACCAGCGGGCCGTGCAAACGAACAAGCCCCATTGCTCAGTCGTCGCACTCCATCATATAAATCACTACCTTACAAGACATGTCATTATCATTACATCGCAACATTATAGAACGCGCACATGCACATGATTGTCATATTATCACAGGCCATGCCCTATCTGAACCTCGGTGTAAATGGTGGCCGTTCGCAGGATACATATTGCAGTGAAGCTGAATGAGCGGGGGGGGGGGGGGGGGGGGCGGCGCCCGATTCCCAACATTGGCAGCGGCTGGCACGTGTCCTCGCCTGCCAAGCAAGGCCGTCCTAACTTGACAATATCCCAACCGCAGCCATTAACGTTATCATCAGCGCCAGTCCAAAAGCCGGAAGACTTCCATCCCTTAATTGACGGCGGTCGCGGGACAACCCGGCGCGGTCGGCCCCGCCGCCAAACACCCCGCCACCCTCCTGGCCTGCGCCTGGGCCGCCGGGCCGGCGCCGGCGACCCGGGCTGACACTCACGGCCGCGTCTGCCCTCGTCGGCCGGGGTCGGAGGCGGGGTGAGCGCCGTGTCCAGCACGTCCTCGCCCCACTCCACCCTGGCCGGGCTGGCCGGCGCGTCCCACTGCGGCCGGAGGGAGGCGTCACACACTCGATATGGGGAGGTGATGTCACGCACTCGATATGGGGGAAGTAATGTCACGCGCTCGATATGGGGGAGGTGATGTCACGCGCTCGATATGGGGGAGGTGATGTCACGCGCTCCATATGGGGGAGGTAATGTCACGCACTCGATATGGGGGAGGTGATGTCACGCGCTCCATATGGGGGAGGTGATGTCACGCGCTCCATATGGGGGAGATGATGTCACGCGCTCCATATGGGGGAGGTGATTTCACGCACTCGATATGGGGGAGGTAATGTCACGCGCTCGATATGGGGAGGTGATGTCACGCACGCACGCCTACCCACACACAGCGCAGTGCGGACATGCGGATATGTGAGGATGCCGTTATGTCTTCGCAAACATGTGAAGCAGTTGAATATTGTGCTATGAACATGCTGTCACATCTTCACACACCAGCACATACATCCCACACACCAGACGTAGGACGGCGTTACAACGGGCACAGGGTGGTGCCATCACCCAAGCAACTAACAAATTTGTGTATGTTAAATGCAAAGACCACTGGTATACATAGTGACTCCCAATGGGCCAAAAATGCGGCAGGCGCCCACTTCAGCACTGAAAGGCTATTCGCTGATCTGGGTATGCCCTCAACGGACCTTGACATGCCATATACTGACCCTGACACGCCGCACGCAGACCTTGACATTTCGTTCATTGACCTTGACGCGCTGTGCACTGATCTTTGCATGCCCCCAACGGACCTTGACATGCCATATACTAACCCTGACACGCCGTCCGCAGACCCTGACATGTCGTTTATTGACCCTGACGCGCTGTGCACTAACCTTGGCATGCCCCCAACGGATCTTGACATGTCATAGACTGACTGTGACACGCTGTACACTGACCTTGACCAGTTTGACGGTGCGACAGTAGGCGCCCCGTCTCTTGGCCTCGACCCGCTCGGGCGCCGTGACCCGCGTCGAGTCAAGGAAGAGCAGCTGGGGCAGCATGTACAGCACGTACAGCCTGCCGGAGCGCGGCACCGAGGTGAAGCCGGCAGGGCCACTGGTACCCAGCCCGCGCGGCCACCGGAGCTGGGTCATGCCCGCGAGCTGGATCTGACATCGGCCCAAACCAAAACCGGTCTTATGGCCGCCACGTGGTCGTGCATGGGAACGGCCTACCGGGAGGAAGTCACGATCGCTGCCGCGTCACGGATTGTCAATGAGTGCGCGGGTGAACTTCACGGCGTATTTCCTGTCAAAACACCCGCTCCCTGCGCCGTGGTGCCTGCTGACGACCTCCGCGTGCCGCAGCCGCTGACCTGTGTCTGGCGTAGTCGGCGGGCGTGTACCGGTCGCAGGTCAGCTGATCGGGGCTGCACGGGTTACCCAGGATACTGAGGTAGCGGAGGCGGCCGGCGCAGCGCTGCAGCATCACCAGCAGGGTCTCCAGACCCTCCACCTGCGCAGGCGCATGGATGTGCAGCAGTCCGACTCCCCCGGAAAACCGCAAGTCAACGGTCGCCGAGATAACGTCCCTATCGGCGCTTCCAGTGCCGCTATCTGAGCACAGCAGCGGCGCCGGTCAGCTGCAGACCCGCTGCAGAACCCCGCGGAACGGCCCCTGCTGCAGTGACTGTGTGCCGGAGGGCACCACCAGGCAGCAGTGCTCGACGATCGGTCTATCAAGATGCCCAAACTAACCATGCAGGTAACCAAACACATTGTTGGACATACTGTCATGGAAGCCTCTGTTCTTCCAGCGACCACGCACTTTACCTTATTGTTGTTCAAGGACAGTGTATGGAGGCGTGGTAGTCGACACATCTCTAGCGATGTCAGCTCGTTGTTGTCCATTATTATTTCTTCAACATTGGGAAACATCGCAAGCCCTTTTGAAAATCTGAAACGAAGCACAGAGGCTACAGCCGGTGCCAAAAATCACATGGATGAAGCAAAAACCAGTGGATCAAAAACTGCTTGAATATAAAACTGACTGATCCATGACACTGGCAAAACTGATCCCTTAGGGAACTGCACCAAAAATGTCTCACTATGAAGGTGCTTGGTACGTCAACAGATGACATAGCAAGCAAAAATCCACACACCTGAGGTGGCAGGAGCTGAGGTTCAGCCGAAGCGTATCAGGCCCGAACAGGCGGCAGACTTCGCGGGGGATCATACCCTCGTGGTTGTCAAACACATGCAACTGTGAAAACAGACACCACACATGAGCTGACACAAAGGCAGTGCAGGCAATGGCATTATCTCTGTACAAGGGCCGAGTAAGTGAGTTGATCACTTGCAAATGTCTGCGCTGATATGATGGTGAACAAGGTCCTCTGATAAAAAACATCAAGCTTGTGCGTGTGCGTGTGCGTGTGCGTATGCGTGCGCGTGCGCGTGCACGTGTGCATGTGTGTGTGCATGTGCTGCTCTACTCAAACCAAGCCCACCAGCGGAAGGGTGGGTGGGTGGATCCCAAGGCGGGGGCTCTAACCAACTGAGCCAAGGGGATGGACTGTGCTAACATACATGAAGCCAAACCTTGCTGGTAAAGTTCATGCTTCTTGAAGGTTGTGCAACGACATTACAGAGCCTGATGAGAACGTAGCCATGCAGGCATCACCTCTTTTGTAGAGTCCATGAAGTTATAGTCCTCCTCCATCACTGGAGCTTCAGGGACCCAAAAATGACCAGAGGGCTGAAACAAAAAAAACAGTAAATGTTATTATACAGGACTCTCATCCATAATGAGATCATTTTAATAACAAGGAAAAGCTATTTGAAAAAGCTAGAACAACTTGGCAGACACATGCAAGAACAGCCATGCAGAGAACAGGACTTTGACACAGCAGATACCAGAACATAGGTATAACATCACTCAATCACTCACACATAGAAACAAATGGATGAACACTTTGAAAAACCAGAAAACTGTCATGAAAATGGACATCTAACACCGCACACATACACACTGTGCCAAACAAAGGAGCATATAATATGGATATAAGAATATATAAATGAATATATATATATATATATATATATATATATATATATATATATATAGGTGTTGTCAATCTGGGCACAGAAGATGCAATGTTACTAGAAAAGGGTCAGGGTGTACTTTCCTACCTAATGTTAGAAAAAATCATTGTACACCATTCGTCGTGTTTAAGGCATGACATATCGTAAATAATCTCAAAACAGGTAGAATCATGCTCCTACCTTCGAATTTCAATAACTTCGATGGCGGGCCCCCGAGCGCCGCGCGCACCGCACCGCCTGGACTCCCCAGCGCCGTTTCCGCGTTGCCGTTGCGTAAATACAATATTTCTGCGTACCAAGAACTGTACAAAATGTACGGGACCAAAGTAAACCATTCGTCATGTTTAAGGCAGGACAACCATAACCTAACTGCGAACCATAAAAATATTTACTAAACATAAACCATATTTACCATAACCATATTTACCATATAAACCATATTAACTGCGAACCATACTATAAACCATAACTATAACTATAAACTATACTATATAAACCATACTACAACTATAAACCATATTTACTGCGAACCATAAAAATGTACCGGGACAAGGTAGCAAGAATCCATGAAATTTGATCCTCGACGCAAACGGGACCATGGGTTGCAGGGGGATTGGGTGGGGAATGTAAAGCAAAATGAGAACATGGCAGCTAAATAAAAGCTCACTATATGGCACCTATATATGGCATGGAACATGGATGCCAATGAGATGCTCGGTTGAAGGGGATATAGGGTGGGGAGGTTAGGTTAGGTTAGGTTAGGTTAGGTTAGGTTAGGTTAGGTTAGGTTAGGTTAGGTTAGGTTAGGTTAGGTTAGGTTAGGTTAGGCTAGGTTAGGTTACATTAGGTTAGGTTAGGTTAGGTTAGGTTAGGTTAGGTTAGGTCAGGTCAGGTCAGGTCAGGTCAGGTCAGGTCAGGTCAGGCTAGCTTAGCATAGCTTAGCTTAGGTTCTGGTCTATTCTCAGTTAGGTTAGGTTAGGTTAGGTTACATTAGGTTAGGTTAGGTTACATTAGGTTAGGTTAGGTTAGGTTAGGTTAAGTTAGGTTAGGTTAGGTTAGGTTAGGTTAGGTTAGGATATGTTCTGGACTGTTCTGGCCTGCGTGTTTCATAAATGTACCTAAACTCGATAAGAAACAATTTTGGTTGCTTTATTATTGTTACCTTGGTCCCGTACACGTTTTATGGTTCTTGATAAGCAGAAATATTGTGCTTTCGCAACAATGTAGAAACGGCGTTTGGAAGTCGAGGCAGTGCGGGGCGTGCGGCGCTCGGGAGCTCGCTATCGTATTTATTAAAATTCGAGGGTAGGAGCATAATTCTATCTGTTTTGAAATTATTTACGCTATGTTCCGCCTTAAACACGACGAATGGTTTACCTTGGTCCCGTACATTTTGTAGAGTTCTTGGTAAGCAGAAATATTGTATTTACGCAACGGCAACGCAGAAACGGCGCTGGGGAGTCCAGGCGGTGCGGTGCGCACGGCGCTCGGGAGCTCGCCATCGAAGTTATTGAAATTCGAAGGTAGGAGCATGATTCTACCTGTTTTGAGATGATTTATGATATGTGCCGCCTTGAACACGACGAATGGTGTGCAATGACTTTTTCTAACGTTAGGTAGGAAAGTACACCTACACCAGCAAAACTTGATAAAACATGAATTTAGTACACACAAGCACAGGATTCCACACACCAATGTTGTAAACATCCAGTGCAGTGGATGGATCTTTTCAGGCTGGGCAGGGCGCAGAGCAGTGCCTATACTTGAAAAATATTAAAGACAAAGCCAAAAACAAACTTGACCTCTAAGATATCATTATCATGACAAATATGTGATCACAGGATCACAATGTTGGTCAAGCGTTTCCTTACCGTGTTCCACACTGTTTCACTTACCTTGCGCACAGCTAGCTGAAAAACCTTACAGAAGCCTGTTAATTCTTGCTGACTGGCATTCAAGTGTCCTTCAAAATGATTACTGCAGCTTCAGCTTCAAAAACACCATCTATTGGTTATTCTTTTTACGCAACACCAGCCCTCCTAAAGACACTCCAATGGAAGAACCACGGTCCTCTTGGACGGGAAAAAACTAAGGCGTCTGTAACACAATATCATCCAACAAACGAGCGGAACGAATAATAGCCAACTCCATAACTGTCTCTAAACAGTCACAAATGCCGCCATATGCGATGGCCAATTACATCCAAAGTGCTGCCATTTCGGAAACTTTCGGAAACAAATTGTCATCGCTTTTTTGCGAACAGCCAGCGTGCCGGCTTCCCGCGCCCAGCGCACCCCCAGCAAGCGCACTACCCAACTGCTAGCTTGACGCCAAGAAGAAGGAACCATATTATGGGTCTCGTTCGATCCTCACTCGACAGGGAGCCTCGGCGTCAAGAAGGTAGGGGCGCTGAGGGGAAATGGGGAAACGGAGTGGTTTGATGTCGACATCCGTGGATAGCTACAGTATGCATATATATATATATATATATATATATATATATATATATATATATATATATATATATATATATATATATATATATATAATGTTATACATTTTCACATTTCACGTTTAACATGAGCGGGCACATAACCGCACGTGCCCGATCTAGCCACCTTGAGGAATTGGCTTTAAATGCCGGTTTGAGTCTTTGTGACACTTGTACTGTGCGACCACAGTAACGCGCGCAGGCCAGGGCACACATGCTGCTCACAAACACCTCAGTGCGTTACGGTATGTATTCCACATCAGTAGATCGCACGTCACACGCGGGCGGGGTCCGCGCACATGGCCACTCACCAGACCTACAAGTTGCGCGCTGCCTGCAAACACGCGGCGTCGCCGCCGCGGCGCTCCCAGGCGTCTGACAACGCACCCGCGGACGCCGCGCCGCCCGCAGTTCGACGCTCGCCCTACAGATGGCAGCAGGACGGACCGCGGACCGCGGCAGGCGCTTCAACAGCGTGCCTCTTGGCACCGTTCGGTGCGCGAGAATCGGTACAATCACATGCGGGTGCTGCAGACGCGCCAGCCGCGCCGGGGCAGGCTGCGGCCGGCGACCCTCCGGCGCTTCGAGCCCAGCCCGTACGCCGCTCACTCCCACTCGGTGGTGCCGGGCGGCTTGGAGGTGAGGTCGTACAGCACGCGACTGACGCCGCTCACGTTCTGGACCTCGGTCACCATCCGCTTCAGCGTCTGTGGCAGAGTTCGCGGCGTTAGACGCTGGGCAGTCGGCCGCCCGACGGCCGCTCGTAGCAGGCACGACGATGGCCACCACGACCCGCCCGCCGCCAATACGGCGATACACGTTGTGAAATCGGCACATCTGGTATGTATCCCGGAAAATTGGGGCAGCTGTCCAGACAAACACAACAGTCATTACGGAAATTGGGACCAGCACAAAACGAACGCAAAGAAACAAAAAAGTGTAGCAAGTTGCGGAACTTTCTCGATTCATACAATTTATTTCTGCTTCTTACGCAACATTTTGGCTTTAGCAATGAGTCTATGGCCGGTGCATGGGCTATAGTGGTGCACTCACACACGGCACTAGCTGAGGCTACGGCGTCACCGCATGGCGAGGTGACAAATTATTGCGAATTTTAACATATTCGTCCCCCAGCATTTATCGGGGCTGAAAAGATACTTCTGGCAATGCCACGTTTCCATCCGAATTCCTGCTCTTACGGAGACAAAGCTGAAACGCTTATTTTCACGGGCCCAACCCCAGCGTGCGCAGCGCACAGCGAGCCACGCATCCCGACGCCATACACGCCGATAGCGCACAACCGCGTACAACCGCGTACAACTGCGCTGACCGTGGCCGCCCGGCGGCCCCGCTATCTGTGGATGTCACGGCTCACGACGAGCGCAAACGGGAGTGACCGAGCAGCGGAGACCGGCGCCGACGCAGACGACAGCGCCACTAACGGGACACGCACCCACGGCGCCGCGCCGCACGCCGCCGCGTGCCGTACCTCAAGCGACAGCTGCTTGCCAGGCGTGGCCGGCACGCCCGTCATGAAGTCGTGCGTGATGAAGGTGCGGATCACCACCGAGCGCTGGCAGCTCGGCTGGTGGCACGTGGCGTCGCGGTCGAAGTGCAGCGGCAGCAGCACCACCGGCATCTGGCTAATGACGGAGGCGCAGCCCGACGACGACAGCACCTGCCGGCGACGGTCGCTCAGACGCCCGGCCGTCCTTGACACGCCGACACGTGCAAGAGGGACGCCGCCACTGCGCTGGTGCTAGAAGCACGCTTACATCTGTGACGTGCACTCATCGTCCCGATGCCGTGATTTATACACACCTCCCTAGCATGGGGTCACCGGCACTGCTATACCGCTCGTGGCCAACTCGTGACAAGCATCTGTCGACTTCCACTGTCCGGTAAGCCGGGTATCCCGCTGCTGAGCACAGCCCGCCAGCCGACGCACGCCGCTCGTGCCCAGCTATCACCTCCGCAGCGGCGGCGGCGGGCGCGGACCGACCTGGTGGGCCACGTAGTCAGCCTCCCGGATCTGGGCCAGCACGCCAGAGGTCAGCAGCGTCGGCGTGACCGAAGTCAGCGGCGCCTTCACCAGACCGCCGAATATGTAGCACACCCTGCCGGCCACAGGCGTGAGTTACACAACATCGAGCACACGTGGCAGCGGGCCAGCCGGGTCATGCTCCCATCGGGCCGCTGGATATGTAGCAAGACAACACTGAGATCCGGCAGTGACGAAGGGCCCAGGACGGTAATGTCTTCATCGAGCTGCCGAATATGTGGGCGCCTTCCCCCTCCCCTCCATTCAGATCACCGACCACTGTCACTCGTTGAGACATGAGACATTGCATACCACACACAAAACATCCCTACGCTTGAGACAAGATTTTTAGCACAGAACGTTGGTGTTTTTTGTTCACTATCGATTGACAGAATGGTTCTTCCGTACTTAAGGCACTCACTGCACCACGAACCATGACCTACATCTGGAACACGACATGTCCCGGCAGCATCAAGCCGCGCCGAACCACTTTCGTTCACAGTTCCCAACCGCCCCCAACGAAATGCAACTGGAGATCAGGCCCGGATCGGTGCCATCGAATATGGATATGCTATCGCGTCAACATCGCCACTACACGCGCCGCGGATCTACGATAGGAGCCTCTTAGCTCCGTACACGGCGTGCAGCAACGGCGTATGCTGGCGGAACTGTCCCGGCAACTTCCCCACATCTCGAACCCTGCGAGCAGCGGGCGTCGGCACCATTCCCTTGTCCGCGCCGTCGTACGACGCTCCCTCAACCAAACTGGCGATACGCATCGGGCCACGGCCGATCCTCTGTCCGCTCGCGGAGTAGCCGGCGGCGGCCGCCTCGCCGCCGCCAGCTGTTCAACGGAGCGACACTCAGTGTGCGAGGGTAGTATCGATGTCGACGCAAGCTCAGCGACGCCACCTTTCTTCCCCTCGGTGCCGGGCGACATGTCGGCCGTGCTCATACTGAGCTGACGCGTGCTCAAAGAGGCCCCAGGCAGGCCCCGGGCGACGGACCCCAGCCACGGGCGACGGCCCCAGGCCATGGGTGGCCGCCTCTGACAACGTCCAGCACAGCTCCGGCGCGTAGCGACGCGCGCCAGGCGGCCGGGTCCTGAACTCACGCAACCGAAACTGAGACGGTGGTGAGTCTACATCCTCATCCGCTCGGTCACAACCGCGGAAGCCACGTTTGTGTCCTTCACGGAAGTCCATGTCGTTTATTTACGGCACGAGCTCCTGGCGTCGACCGCACGTTCCACGCGGCGGCGGCAGCGGCGTGCTCCCCACCTGTTGATGTTGTGGCAGATGCGCGGGATGAGCCGGGCCAGCCGCAGCAGGTCCGCCCAGTCGGGCTCAGCGCCGCTGCTGATGCCGGCGCAGTAGCTGTACGTCCTGCCGTCCCCCTGCCGAGACAGCAATGGGCGTCATGGCCGCTAGCCGGCGGAGGACGCTCGCACCAGGCGCGCGCCGCACAGAAGAGGGAATAGTAACGTGACCTGGGGTCAGCTGGCTCCACGCGGAGATTATGCAGGGCCAGTGGACGCTGACCTCTCACTTGAGCTGGCAATTACTTGCCAAAATTGATGACATTTACTGGCCAATTACATTCCACGAGAGCTTCTTTAGCACTCCACCTACGCTAAAATCATGCGGTAAATGGTGCGCTCACCATTACGTTGGCAGCACCCCGTCATAGCATTGCAAGAGCAGTGTGTGTGTGTAATTGGGGCTTTACGACGCACTCAGCTGTTGAGGCTATATGGCGTCAGCCGCCTCTCAACCTGGCAGGAACGGTGGGCACCGCGGGGAATCAAACCCCGTACCTCTGGTTTCCCAGACGCGCACAAGAGCAGTGTGGATGGGCGTTCTACTAAAACGCTGGCAAGAACTCCAGCAGCTTAAACGGCAGGAAACGTTGCACACGCAGCCATCTCATCGGAAGCCAGTCTGCGATTTCCCAAAAGAAAAAGTAATATGTTATGCAACAGTTTACATCCATCTACACTGGTAGGGAAGTTACATCAGACAGCATCACACCTCGCCCTCGGACACGGGGACTCGAACGAGGGTAGGGCACCGTGCCGGCGCGCCTCCCCGGCCGGGTAGCCGCGGTCCTCACCTGTGTCCCCACCGTCTGGATGGACAGCACGGTGGTGTCCAGAGGCCGCCCCCGGCCTGGCAGCGGTCCTCACCTGTGCCCCCATCGTCTGGACCGGCAGCACGGTGGTGTCCAGAGACCGCCTCCCCTGTCCAGCGGAGGTCCTCACCTGTGCCCCCATCGTCTGGATGGATAGTAGAGTGGTGTCCAACAGGCCGCCCCCGGCCCGGCAGCGGTCCTCACCTGTGCCCCCATCGTCTGGATGGATAGTAGAGTGGTGTCCAACAGGCCGCCTCCGGCCCGGCAGCGGTCCTCACCTGTGCCCCCATCGTCTGGATGGATAGTAGAGTGGTGTCCAACAGGCCGCCCCCGGCCCGGCAGCGGTCCTCACCTGTGCCCCCATCGTCTGGATGGATAGTAGAGTGGTGTCCAACAGGCCGCCCCCGGCCCGGCAGCGGTCCTCACCTATGCCCCCATCGTCTGGATGGATAGTAGAGTGGTGTCCAACAGGCCGCCCCCGGCCCGGCAGCGGTCCTCACCTGTGCCCCCATCGTCTGGATGGATAGTAGAGTGGTGTCCAACAGGCCGCCCCCGGCCCGGCAGCGGTCCTCACCTGTGCCCCCATCGTCTGGATGGATAGTAGAGTGGTGTCCAACAGGCCGCCCCCGGCCCGGCAGCGGTCCTCACCTGTGTCCCCATCGTCTGGATGGATAGTAGAGTGGTGTCCAACAGGCCGCCCCCGGCCCGGCAGCGGTCCTCACCTGTGCCCCCATCGTCTGGATGGATAGTAGAGTGGTGTCCAACAGGCCGCCCCCGGCCTGGCAGCGGTCCTCACCTGTGCCCCCATCGTCTGGATGGATAGTAGAGTGGTGTCCAACAGGCCGCCTCCGGCCCGGCAGCGGTCCTCACCTGTACCCCCACCGTCTGGACGTGCAGCAGGGTGGTGTCCAACAGGCCATCCCGGCCCGGCAGCGGTCCTCACCTGTGTCCCCACTGTCTGGACGGATAGTAGAGTGGTGTCCAACAGGCCATCCCGGGCCGGCAGCGGTCCTCACCTGTACCCCCACCGTCTGGATGGGCAGCAGGGTGGTACCCAGCCGGTGTTTGGACGAGATGCGCAGCAACATGTTACGGTCGTCCTCCGTTGTGGCATTGTCTATCCGGTTCAGCAGCGCATGACTCTGGACAACGGCCGGCAGAAACCTCAGTCAGGCCGGGCCACAGCAGAGACCTTTACCAGCGGCCAAGATGGCAGACGAACGTCTTTGGCTGATGTCAAGACATCACAAACCGGTGGTCCTTGGGCGCGACAAAAAAAATCGGATATAAAAAATACGTGCATAGGGAAATGTCATAGATGAAAAACTACTACAAAAGTTACACCAATGCATACCATATAGATTAAGGCACCCAAATTTGACCACTGTGATGTGCATACAGAGGACAATAGAGTCCAGCGAATTTGTGAAAACGACCATTTGACAACAGATGACAACTCCAACATTTGGCAATGAAATCTGATCGCAGCGGCTATCAGCGCCAAACGTTACAGGCACCATGAAGCACGTTTTCCAAGTCCCCACAAAAAGGGAAAATGGCATGTATCATGGTAAACAGAGAATGATTTCACTCACCGCTGCTTCAACCGAATTTTAGCCAACCACCCGAACTTCCTAGCTCACACAGCACCACTCCCCAAATGTGCATCGCCGTTGTGACGGCCCCCACTTCCAATCCCCTATTCCGATGTCTCCGTGGCCTCCAGCAAATCAAGTAGCCGGCCCCTCCTCCTCTACCTCACCCCCACGTCAGCGTCGCGCTGGGCGGCCCTACCCGCTGTTTGCAGCTGTGGTAGTCGGCAATGATGCGCAGCAGAACTTGCGTCTCGGAGAAGTCGGCGCTCATGTACGGCTCCTCGGCGCAGATGACGCGGATGGCCAGGCCGGGCCCCGGGAACGGGTGCCGCTGCACCAGCTCCGGCGGCAGGCCCAGGTCATGGCCCATTTCGCGCACCTGACAGGGGGTCAGGTCAGGTCAGTTCAGTGGGACTGCACCAGCTCCAGAGTCAGGCCCAGGTCATGGCCCACCTCACGCACCTGACCGGTCTGATCAAGCCGGCCAGGTCGGATAATTTTGGGGCACAGGCATTGGGCCACCTCCAGCACAAGCCCAAAAATGGTCTAACTCACAAATCTGACGGGTTGCTTCCGGCTAGACGGGGCCCGGCTCGGCCACACCAAATCGGTCAGGTCAGAGAAACCAGAGGTATACGGACTGCACCATGTCCGAGGGCACACTGATGTCACGGCGCATCTCACGCACCTATTGGGTCGGGTCAGCTCGGAGCTCCTGTGCCTCTGGCCTCTGACAGAGACGTCAGAGACGAAGGAGCTGCTGTATTGCCACACTCCAGCCAAGGCTCATCTCCCGCACCACTGCCTCAGGGGGTCACCCGTCACCTAACATCAGAAAACGCAGCAAGATCCAAACATGGGCCTATCACAGGGGTACATGGCAGCACTTCTACCGCGCTCATCTTTTCCAAAGCAAGGCGCGCAGGCCATACGCCTTCTCCACGCACGGACGCCATGCCGACGCCGCGCCGACCACCCACCTCATCCTTGTGGAAGTCCTTGAGCGGCTCGATGACGCGTCCCTGCTGGCGCAGCTGGCGCACCAGGTCTGTGTCGTTGTGGTGCGTCTTGATGCACTGGGCGGTGCCTGACGCCAGGTGCGAGGCTGACTCGATGAGGTCGGGCCGCAGCGTGCCCTGGCCGAGCAGCACGTCCTCGGGCCGCAGCATCAGCTCGCTGATCACCTCGTTAGCCACCTGTCAGGGCGAGTACCACTGAGTCACCACCGGGTCGCCAGACGGGGGAGCGGAGGGCGTCGCGGCAGGGGCCTCCGTGGAAAAAAAGTGACGCTACAGGTCGGTGACCCGGGAGTGCCGACGGCTCGCTGTTCACGTCCTTGGCCTGCAACGAGGCTGTCGGGGTCATCCCCAGACCGGGCTGGGGAACAGGGGGGGGGGGGGGGGTCACTGACACGACGCTGGGTCAGTGGACACCAGCGCCGGGCGCGGCCGCCCTCCGTTCAGAACAGGACCAGCAGGCCGAGGGACGGGCGGGGGGGGGGGGGGGCGTCACGGCGCCGCCGACACCGGGAGGACATGACGCCATGGGACGGAGCTGCGGCCGGGGCGCGACTGGGGCGAGCCAACGCGAGCAGACCGCCGTTAAAGCAGCGGGGCTCGCTGAGCACCGCACTGGAGGAAATCACGGACAAACCTCGACAGAAGACATTCCGGCATTCCGGCTTGAACCGGCCTCCGACGCTCCTGCTCACTTGCCCGTCATCGCGTTCGCGGCAGCCCTTCCACCCCGCCAGTCGGCGGCGCCGGGCGACGGCCTCACCTTGATGAAAGTGTCGCCGATAATCTTGCGCTTCTGCTCGGGGTGCGTGGTGCGACAGAGCAGGCCGGTGGCGCGCTTGCGCGGCACGCCGTTGGCGCCCGTCTCCGGGATGGTGGTGCTGCCGTTCAGGAAGTTGTGTCGAGCGTTGATCACTGCCGGCGCGGCCGCCGCGGTAAGGCGACGAGAAGCGGGCCGGCGGAGGGCCCACGCTCCACGACGCAAGATCCGTGCACCGCGCGCTCTCGCTGGCAGGTGTCGGTTGCTTGCAGACCCATGGTGGTATCACGCAAAGATGTTCCAATGGCATTCTGTATACCACGATCCATTCATAGTTTGAACGTTGAAAACGGATCACTGATGCCTGAATAAGCCAGATTAGTATGCCCAAAAAGTCACGATTTTGTGAAATTCTACCAAACACTCAAAAAGAAAGCGAGCTCAATTTTTCACTACTGCATGCTCCTATCCCACAGCAGCAGTGCCCCTCCCTCCCCCCCCCCCCCCCACGTCCGAACACGGCCGCCGACGTGCCCCGACTGACCCCTGAGCTTGACGCCGATCTTGCGCAGACTCTGCTCCACCTGCAGGCTCTCGTGTTTGCGCATGAACCCGTTGTCGATGTGCACAGCTACCACCTGGTCCTGGCTGAGCGCCTTGTGGAGCAGTGCGGCGCATACCGTCGAGTCCACGCCGCCGCTCACCAGCAGCTGGCGGCCGCCGGGCACCGCAGGTCAAGGTCACGCCGGCGCGAGGGGCAGGGAGGGGACACCCGATCGGCGGCGGTCCGTCGGCGTGTTGTGGTGCGGCGAGGCGATTTTGCGCCGAACGTATCGAACGGTGTGAGGCAAGGGGATGATGCCAACTGGAGATTTAAGACGCGTCAACTCATGAGTCATTTCGCACCAAGCCGTAACGCGGTTCTACCAACAAAGCGCAAGCTCCCAGGCATGGCTCTTGGTGTCTAATCTGATGCAACTGGATTGAAAAAATGATGTGAGAAAGTAGCTTAACGTCCGTCAAGATGATTCCACGTATTTGCTTAACTATCATTACACTCTGGTTATCACTGCAATATTCAACTTTATAATGGTCTAGGCACGTAAAATTCACACCAGGCCCTAATTGGTGATGCACACATTAATATGTGTGTTGGTGTATAGAACTTCACGTTACTTTTTCAGGACATAAACACACCATGACACCGTTTGGGAACTAACTTCAATGTTTTCGCCTTATAAACGGCCATAGCCACCCATCGACAGGCACCCATACACCCACCACACGCCGTCGGTCCAAACCCACCGCACGGCTGCCGGCGCGGTCTGGGCCTGACTGAAAGGACTGGCCCCGACCGAGCCGGAACTCACCAGAACCTTCTGCTTGCCGACGGTGGAGCGGATGAACTCGAGACACTCGGCCTCGCGCGACTTGAGCGTGAAGAGCCCGCTGAAGCCGGCCACATTGAACAGGAAGTTGCGCAGGATAGTCCGTCCGTTGTCAGTCAAGTCCACCTGCGGGTCGGGACAGCCGGCTCAGTCGTCCACTCCGCGTCCACTGTGGACGACTGTACTCCATTAGCCGCAGTCAAAAGATGCAACGGGCTTCCGCAGCCGGTGCGGCGTGGAAGACCGGTTCCTAATAGTGCTGCAGCACCCGCAGGTACAGTGCCGCTACGATGACACTTGCGGCCCGGCAACTGCACTGATTCCAAAAACACCGCGAGAAGTGTACCACTGAAAACTGCAATTTAGTTGTCAGACGACCCTGTTTTCCGGCTCTCTCCAGATCACTGACGCCACGCCATTTTCTCACCGATCAATGTGTCACCGACTAGCGCACGCGTCCCGTCCATCTGGGCAGACCCACGCGCACACCAGGGGCACCGCGACACGGACGCCTGGCCTGCTCGCGGCCCGCGCTGACCTCGGGGTGGAACTGCACGCCGTATAGACGGAGCTTGTCGTTGGCGACTGGCCGCCACCAGGTTACCGGAGCGGCCCACCACCTTGAAGGAGTCGGCCACCCGGGTCACCGAGTCGCCGTGGGTGAGCAGCACCTGCTGCGTCTTGTCCAGATCTCTGTCGGAGGTCACAGCCAGCTCAGCTCGGCACTCGGCGCGGCCCGCGGGCGTCCGTGCCTGAAGTACTGGGCTTCAGCCTGTTATTTCAGTAGACATGAAAATGCCACGAAACCAGGCCTCTGCTGCGTGCATGCCCATCCACTGACCACAACAAAGCAGAGGCTGATCTGATCTGACCACCGCCACACAGAGTGCGTGACAGACGCCAGGTCGAAGAACTCCGCCAACCAGTACGTCCGACAGTCCATCCACACTGAGCCCCATTACTCACTTGAACAGCACACACTTGTTGTCGACCTCGATGTCGAACTGGCCGTCCTCGCGCTCGTCCTTGCGCTGCACCAGGCCGCCGAACTCCCTGTTCATCATGTGGAAGCCGTAGCAGATGCCCAGCACAGGGATGCTGATGCGGAAGAGGTCGGCGTCGTACTGCGGCGAGTCCTCGGCGTTGACGGAGCTTGGCCCGCCCGAGATGATGATGGCCCTGGGGGGGGGGGGGGGGGGGGGAGGGCGTCACCACCGCAGGAAAACAGCGGGACGCGCCGCACCCAGGCACAGACTCGGCGGCGGCGGCGCCGTGGGAGCGCCGGACGAGCGGTCCCCATCCGGAAGACAAGCGTGGGATTGTGCATCAACACGACGTTCTCCTGAAGGAACACAAAGCCCATTCGTCGAACACCAAACCTTATCAGTACAGGATTGATGGATACCCCCAAGGTACTTACAAACGGAAAATACACGCAAATGTACCTCGATACCTTTAACAATCATCCTGCATGTCTTGTGTACCATCCCTTCACCATGGGACTCCCACATCCGTCCTTCTCACTTGAAGTTACGCTCTTTGAGCGTGAAGGCGGGCGTGTCGAGTGGCAGCATCTCGGTCTGCACGTTGAGTTCGCGCACGCGCCGGTCGATGACTTTGCCATACTGGGCGCCGGCGTCCAGGATGGCCACCACCTCCGAGTGCGCATGCGCGCCGTTCATGGCGCGGATCCGGTGACTGGAGCAGGGCGCCACGCGGCCCAGGAAACAGCAAGACAGAATAGCTGCCAAAGTGGCACAGTCCGGGGTCAGCTGGCTACTTCCAGCTGAAGTGGGCACAGGTCAGCTGGCGAGAGCATCACCATCAACATGCTCGGGCCTGGGAGCCCAACATCTGTGATGGAATGGTTGGAGATAGGCATTCAATTATGTGAATCATATGTAACATCTGTGATGGAATGGTCGGAGATAGGCACTCAATTTGTAACATCTGTGATGGAATGATTGGAGATAGGCACTCAATTATGTGAATCATCATGCAACAATCCAATACTTGCAAACTGCAATTGTCTAGCATCAATTAACCTCATAGAATTAAGGTGATGAATGCAACTGTCAAGTGCTGTGTCTGGAAAAGTAAGTGCCCCAGTTATCACACAACAAATAACATGCAGGATGAAATCTGGCATTACATGATATAATAAAGGCTCCTCTGGGATGAGGAAGCAATGATTGGTTATGCCTAACTGCCATAAAGCATGACAAGTCATCATCTCTGTTCAGGGGGCAAGCATTTCATATCCTTGACAAGAACATTTCAAATAAATCTGAGCAAAACACACGGTCGTGGAAAGATGACACACACTTCAAAAGTATGCAACTTGATGTCAGATGCCGGCTATATTTGGCCTAAAGTTCACAGTGCTACTACATGATACTTATCAGAAATGATGCAGAAGATAATGGAGGTAACTTATCATTAAATTCTGAATATATTTGAGGCTTGTGCTCCATCACTTATTGCAGAATCCTCACTCAACATAAACAAATCACTTGACTTACAAGGTATCACCTTGAACACAGCTGTGAGTTTGAGCCCAACCCTTGAGCTAATTGCACCCACCCCATGCATTCAAACCAGGAAAATGCTAAATAATTAACAGGCAAACACCCTAAAAATAAGCCACGATGGTTAGATCCATGCAGAATTAAAGCTATGCTTTTGTGGTCTTGGCTGTTTGAACTAAAAAAAACTCTTGAAAGATTGAAAAGATTTTAAGACAATCCAATTGCAACTGCCAAAACTAAAAATACCTGTCACAAAATGCTTGCATACATAAAAATGAAAGGCACACACATCCCTCTAAATTTTAACTCAATCTCAAGTTCAGTTGCAATTCAAGCAATTGATTCTCCTGTGTGTAAAATTACATAATAATAGTTGTGATATGCCATTGCCTGAAAATGAGACCACCACAAACAGCCCCAAATTTGTTAGATTAGACAAGCCTGATAAGCAATTACCAATAATGCTCAGAATCAACAGCAAACAATATAATACATTTTGCATTTCATACTTAACTGGTCTGATGATATGACACCAAAGTACAGAATGACAGTCCCATGCACCTTGACTGAAATATAAAGCAGTTAACATGACAGGTGAGATATAAGATCATACATAATCAAAACACTATCCAGTGCCATTCATGAACTGATAGATTTACTACCAAGGTATTAGAAGCATGTACCAGAAGTCTTTTTTATATCTAAAGCAAGTACCAAAAATTACTGGCTTCATGTAAAACTATTTCCATATTGTCCCCTCATTTATTTAACACTTCTTTCTCTTTTCTAACCATGCTTTCGCACACCTCTCATGCTTGAAGTAGACCACCAACTTCAAAATCATGTGTGACCTATCAAAGAATTTGGAGAGGACAGCATACAGGGAGACTTCTGCATTTACTTTAATACATGCCACTGTCCATACTCAACATTTGTAAGGTTTCACATAACCTGCCTTTCCCAGCCATGTGTTCTGTACTAAGTGTTTACAGTAAAAACTACAGACCATTTAAAGCATGCTTTGGCTCCAGACTACAGAATATATGTTGCACCAAACATGCCCAATGTAACAGTAACATCACCGAAAGTTTTAGCGCAGGCATGTTCAAAATTTAGGCACTCCTAGATTGCACCTACATAAATAGCTCCACAAGACTATGATTTTAATCGAAAAAATCAAAGACCCGTCCAACACAATGGAAGATCGCGGCTAACCATTGAAGAGTTCACCTCTTATATGCGCACTCAAATTAGCGCCGGTCATTCAGTGCGGTCTTAGTAGAATGGATTTGGAATTCTCACCTGAACCTCCAATATTAAATGATGAAACGGGTGATCGCAAGTAATTGCAAGTGCCGCTGCGAGTTCATCGAGTAATCTCACGCACGGTAATGATATGCGACCCGGCAATATCACACCCCCGCGAGTAATCCGAACCAGATACCTCGAGGGTACCGCAATGAGCACGTAAGCGACGCGATGAGGCGATGTGTACCAGTTAAACCATTCCCACTGGACGCCAGGAAACTTTAAAAAATATATTCAAGTAAGCAGTAGAAAACTTGAGACAATGTGACCTGCAGGAAAATAAGAATCATCCTAAAATAATTTTTAACTTTAAGTGTCATTAATTTTGATATTTATTTCAATTAACTGAAATTTGTATTCGAGGAAAGATGTCTCACTAGGTTTGTTGCCATCGAAAAAAAGCCTGCACTGGACAGCGCCTTGCAGACGGATTTGGGCTCGGGAGTGAAATAATGGGGTTGCGGGGCTGTAAGTGGAATGAATGGGGCGTGGAAGTCACTGGCGGTGGTGCTAGGCGCTGGTCAGTGAGTCTGTGTGAGAAGATGCATAGCACAATGGTATTTAATGCATGTTAAGCCTAACCGGTCCGTAAAAGATCCATATAACAACACGATAAGCTGTGTCCTGACCGCGCCTGAGACGTACCAGTTCTTACCTATCCGGACATTACTGTTAAAGAACCTCGCATTCTTGCCACGACCCAGCTGTTGTAAGCATCTCGTCAGTGACTCAACTGTTATGGGCGCAAAATGACCCTAGTAGTCGACGCGCCCTAAAACCCCAAACATAAACCAATCGACTGCGGGCGTGGGACCGTACCACCAGTCGGACGGGCAGGTGCGCTGGGCGGGCAGGTGCGCTGGGCGGTGGTGGATGACGTCATGCTGATGCAGCGGGCTTGGAGCACGACTTGCCCGATTTGATTGACGGCCCATGTTGCTATATGAACGCACGAACCATCAGGATAACGTGCTTCACGCAACCCCGTTTCACATCCACGAATGATACACTGATCGTGACACACTAGCGTCACGGAAGGCCAACGACCTTGAGAGTCTCCCGCGATCCTGCGCAAGCATTGCCACCGGTGCATGGACCGAGGTCAAACACCACTGACCCGGTTCACAGTCAGCAGAGTAACTAACTTAGCGAAAACACGAACACAACACCTGTTTTAGCTAGGGGTGTTTGGCAGACGTCCACCGTCTGATGGACCCATAAACCTCGGCTAATGCAACAAGTTCCAGCGTCATGCAGGCATTTCGGCGCCGTTCCTGGGCTGAACCGCGAAGCCAACCTGCACGACGGACGTGAATCGCACGGAAAACACGTTGCTAAGCAACTCTTGTTCTAAATCCCGACTGGTTGTGCCATTATCACGGCGTCCCGCCTTCGACCCGTCCGACAACGCGCAAAGAAATAGTTTCCCGTGAGCCATGATAGTTTTATTAAAACAACCAGCGAGTCTTTGGTCGAAACTCACTGCACAACAAATGTGCCCTCTAGTATGGTTCCGGTTACATCTTCTGCACTGTCTTGATGCCCAGGATGCCAAAACACCTGGTCATCACGAGGGCGGTGGCTTCACACAGCAGCATGCGCGACATGTTGATCTTGACGATCTCTCCTGTTTTGCGATCCTTCTCCACGCAGTAGCAGCTGTCATAGAACTCCGTGAAGACAGTGGATACTTCGTACAGATAGTCGCACAGGCTGTGGATGAACAGGTCCTCAGTCACCCGAACCACAACCTCTGGGAAGCGCAGCAGAACCTTCGCCAGCTTCCACTCCTTGTCGTGCAGCAGCTCGATGGCCGTGCCGTCCTCGGCCGTCTTTACGAGCTGTTCGGAGGTCAGCTGCGCCTTCCTGCTGATGCTGCGGATGCGGGTGAGCGCATACAGCAGGTAGGCGGCCGTGTTGCCTCGGTCATCCAGCATCTTGTCGAAGGAGAAGACGTACTCGTGGTTGCGGTTGTGCGAGAGGTCGGCGTACTTGATGCAGCCGTAGGCCACGTGCTCCTGCGCCTGGCGCAGCTCCTCCGGCGTCAGCTCCCCGTCGCGGCCCTTCTCACGCAGCTTCTCCAGCGTGCGCTTCACGCCTTCGTCCAGCAGATCCACCAGCCGTACCGTCTCGCCCGACCGCGTCTTGAACTTCTTCCTATCTTCGCCCAGGACGACGCCGAAGCCCACGTGATCGACGCGCACGCCGCCGTCGAGCCAGCCGGCACGGCGGGCGCACGCGAACACCGACTGCAGGTGCGCGCTCTGGCCGGCGTCCACCACATAGATGAGCCAGTCGGCGTGCTCCTCCTCCACGCGCTGTCGCAGCGCCGCCATGTCAGACGTGTCATAGGTGAAGCCGCCGTCCGACTTGACTACCGTCAGCGGCAGGTCGCAGCCGGGCGCGAACATGATCTGGCGGCCGTTGTCTTCCTCGAGGAAGCCGCGCTCCGTCAGCACCTGCACCACGTCCTGCATGCGGCTCTGGTAGAACGACTCGCCCCGCGACACCAGGCCCTTCACGTTCAACCGCGCGTAGATCTTGCCGAACTCGCGCTCCGACACGGCGCAGATCAGCTTCCACGCGCGGATGATATCCTCCTCGTACGCCTGCAGGCGCACCACGCAGTCGTAGGCTCGCTTCTTGAACGCCTCGTCCTCGTCGAATCGCTTCTTCGACTCCTTGTAGAAGCCCTGCAGGTCGGTGATCGGCGGCGTCTCCGTCTTGTAGTTGGGGAACTTATCGGCGAGGTGGGCGATCAGCATGCCGAACTGCGTGCCCCAGTCGCCCAAATGGTTGATGCGCAGCACGTCATGGCCGAGGAACTCGAGCAGACGGCTGATGCTGTCGCCGATGATGGTGGAGCGCAGGTGCCCCACGTGCATCTCCTTGGCGATGTTCGGCGACGAGTAGTCAATGACGACGCGCCTCTTCTGCACGGCTGGCGCCGGCACGCCCCGCAAGAGCATCTGGCGCAGCTGCTCCGCCGCGTGCTCCTTCCGGAGGAACACGTTGATGAAGCCGGCGCCGGCCACCTCCATGCGCTCGATGATCGGGTTCTCCGGCACGCAGCTGATGATCTTCTGCGCCACGTCGCGCGGGCTCATCTTGATGCCCTGGTCCTTGAGGATCTTGACGATGGGCAGCGCGGCGTTGCACTGGTAGTCCCCGAAGCGCGAGCCGGACGTCAGGCCCGTGGGCGCGTCTGGGATGTCGGGGAACGCCGCCGCGATGGCCGCGGTGAACCTCGCCGACAGTGCCATGTGCAGGCACTGCATACCGGCCGGCGCGCGCTGCGCCTCCGCCTCGGCGGCGCGCCGCAGCACGCCGGCCCGGTGACGCAGCTTCTGGTTCTCGGCGCGCAGCCGCGCCACCTCCTCGCTGTCAGCTTCGGACGGTTCGCCCGAGCCGGCCAGCAGCTGCTGCAGGGTGCCGTGCAGCTTTTCGATCTCCTGCTCGGCCAGCCGAGCCCGCTCGTTGTACTTCTCCAGCTCTTCAGCACTCATCCTCAAACTGTCCAGCACCTGCAATCCAGCGAGCATCAAGTTACAAGGCCATCAGAACTTAATGCAGGGCTATTTTCTGCTATTATGTATGACCATTCTCAAATCAGAAATATGCTGCTGAACAGAAAATCCCCACCTGATCACATCACAGTGGTCCATTATACCACAACATTATACACAACACAACCCCCTCCCCCAGCAGCTCTTAAAGGGGGTGGTCCACACTGATATGAAGTTTTAACTGAAATGGCCATCTGTAAGACCTTTCAGTGTTCTTCACAATCCTGCCCTTCTGAAAGGCAATAGGTATATCAGAGAGAGCATTTTGAAGTCACTTTGGCATCCATGACATCATAACACTATTTGAATCCTAGTATTCCATAAGCTGTGCAGGGACCAAGGCTAATAAAAATGTAATTGTCAAGGCATTCATATCTGACATGTTCATATTGGCATGCTCATATCTGGCCAGTATAAATTCAAGATGTAACTGGCATCAATGGCTGACAATCAATGTTGTACAAGGTATGATGAAGCAACCAAACCATGACATATTGAGGAGCATGTTTACTAAACAGATAATTGTGCTGTCTACAGTAGTCTTTTCCACTGAAAAAATATATCAATAGTTTAAAATGAGTTTGTGTCATAGCTGACACTTGCTTCAATGCCTTCAAGTATGAAACATTTCAATTCACATGAAGGTGACCACAAACTAAATTTTCCTGCAGTCCCTTTTTAGTACAGTTTCATCAGAACAAGAGTAATCTAATCTGTCCAAAAAACAGGGGTCCAGACCATTCCAAACCTTGTGGTGGTTATGGACAAGCCTTTTAGAGCACATTGAAGGTGGTATTTCTGGCATAAGAACACACACTGAAAAAACAGTATCTCAGAGCCCTTCTTACAAAAAAAAATTAATGAAACCCATGCTGTTTGTAACAGTAACAAAGATAAAAAACTATTTCCCTGATTACATAGGCAGCTTTGATTCCAGCTGGGACCCAGCTTTGATCCAAACTATCAGACCTGTGTCTATACCCAGGCACCATTTGGAACTTTGCTGTTCAGATTTAAGTCACAGAGACAACCACACATCAGGCAAGGATTTGGGATTTATAGCCCAGTTACAGGGGCATGTCTAGATACTAGTCAGTCCTCACATATTTCAAGATTTTCTGTTTTTCTATTTAGGCATATAGATCAGTGTGCTGTGCCTGCCCCCCTGATTCATGTGTTTCTCTCCCTCAGTCTCAGCCTGAATGTACCAGTTCTTCTACCTACAGTTCTTCTATAGGCTCTTCTATCCCAGTCCACAGTAAGGTCCTCAAACTCACAAGTTAAAAACAACTAAAACTGCCCTTGGCTTCCCATGTCAATGGGGTACATGCATCAGTGACCAGCTGTTCAGGAATTTTCCAGGGTGAAAAGGTGCCATTCATTCTTAATCATTTTTTTATGAAATAGGACATTTCTTAACCCATTATGTCAGGCTCTTAAGTTTTTCCTACAAGAAACAGATACCTTGCCATCTTGCCTAAGAACCATCTTTAGTCCATACTAGCAGTGCCAGAATATATACCATAAAATCAATTCAGCATGCATGACCACTACCTCAATGCCACCCATCACTGCCTGAAATCAATTGATTCAGATTTAAGTGTTTTTCAAGCTGTCTGCAACCTAAAATATGAGAACATTACTATACTCCTAGTTATTCATAACCATGCTTAGCAAGTATGATAGGTCAATGGATGGCTCAATCAGGAGGCAGAGACCCACATCAACATCACTGATCAAATTTAAAAGTACATCACAAACACCAATTCAAAAGAATCACACGGTTACATACAAGACCACATCGCAGCCCCAGTAATACACAGGAGAGCCGCAGGTGGCCGAGTCAACAGTTTTCTTGAAACTTGATATCGCATCTGTGGTTGGTTAGAAATGATAACCGACAATGTCTTTCGCCCTACCTCAACTTGAAGGGCCTTCTCTTGCACCTGAGAACACACCTGTCAAATCTCTAAAGCATTAGTGAGACGACGCCCCCAATCCGGCCACGCCAACACGGCGACCCGGCACCTAAAACAGCCACGCGGACGGCGCCTCCTAATAGGACTTTCCCCAGGAGGTGAGCAAGCCAAGCTGTATCTTTCGTCATCTGCCTCCCATTAAATCCATGGAATATGACGTCGTGAAATTACACTAGAGTGAAATCCAACAATGGAGCTCGCTTTATGGTAGAATTGGAAAATAAGCTAACAACTTTTCAAGTCTCCCAAACTGAAGGTCATCATAAAATGGTAAAAAATTGTGTTGTGTGTTTTTGTGTCATACTTTTAGGCCAGAAAGCACAAAAATGCGCAAAAATTACAAATTCAGCAAAACATAGATATGCAGTATAAGCATAAATCTAGACAGAACTGCTCTCAATGACATCATCACTACCATATTGAAGTCGGGATTTTTTGAGACATTTACGAAATGGTAAAGACAATTGTCAATGATTCTGTTTCGCGTGTGGGTAGGGGGCGGCAGGCGTTGGATGCACTAGTTGACATATGTGATTAGTGTCCTCGTTGCTGAACAGTTTATCGATCATGTCGTCGGAAGATCTAAAGCAGAAAATAATTGAACTTGAAAAAGAGCTAGAAAGCCTTAAAAATGACGGAACCCACGAGCCCCAAGGACGTCAAAAGATTGACCAGATGTCAAGCGAAGTAGTGGATGCAAATCCGTATAGGTATGGTTCGGCAACCCTCCATGCTTCATGTGTGATTTTCCTGAAAAAGATCATGAAAATGGAATACACGGGAACACTTAAAAAAATATACATCATGAAAGCATGCCCAACATTTTTGTTTCAGATGTGATTTTTGTGAAAGTTCCTGCCAGGTGGGTGTTAAAAGACAGCTTGTGTGACAAGAGATGATTATGCACTTACATACATATATATATATATATATATATATATATATATATATATATATATATATATATATATTTAGATATTATATATCTGACACTTTGGTAGTCATATGCAGATGATGGAAATGAGGGTAGAGGTTGCAGACCCAGGGGCTAGGGAAGCCCACATATATGCAACTAAGTGTCATGGCCTTCACAAATGAGTAGCAGCCATACCTTGCAAGGCATCAGGGATGGAATAGCTAAATAGCTTTAGTGTTGCAGCCAAGGTACAGCTGGTGTTGGCAGCTTATGCCAAGCTGTCTGCCTGGACTGTGCAAGTTGGCCATGTGATACGAGGCTCTCCGAACCCCAGGATCACTTTGCAGCCATTGAGCTGCAGAGGGGCTTCTTGAACCCATATTTTGGGTGGGAGGTGCAGCCAGTGATGCCTGCCAGGGACAGTGAGGGGCACAGGGAGGGGGGGGGGGGCATTGGTGCACCACCCAGAGGAGACTCAGACTCTGACTGATTTGCTCAAGCATTCTGTTGAATGGTGTGTACTCAACATGTAACATGTTTTGTGCCTGGTGAAAACATCACAGGGAGTGTTTGTGGTCAATAATAAGGGCTGAGCTTTTAAAGCTTAACTCTGCACATGGCATGTAACAACAATTTTGATCAAACATGAAAAAGCCTGAACACATGACTGTATGCCTGTAACCACCTACATGCCCAGTTCAAATGTGGTAGCTCTATTTAATTTTGTTGCAAAGTCGAGTTCTTCAGGACTTAAGTTGCGTGTCATGTGCCAACAGTCGCCTGATGGCCCTGAAGCGGATGGGCATTGTGGACAACTACGAGCAGATCCGCCAGTTTACAGTGGCCGTGGTGGGTGTCGGCGGCGTGGGGTCGGTGGCGGCCGAGATGCTCACCCGCTGCGGTATCGGAAAGGTGAGCGGATCCCCAGGTCGCGGTGGCCGTGATGGGCGTGGGCGGCGTTGGCTCGGTGGCGGCCTTGATGTTCACCCACTGCGGCATCGGAAGGGTGAGTTGCACGATCAGCTCGGCTGGGCCGCCCACAGTTTGGACAGTCGTTGCGTGATATTGCAAGGTGCGTGTAGTTTCATGTCTATATTATGACCTACAAGTGAGTTAAGGCTTAACAAAGTTTGTTGTGGGAAACTGACCCTCTCCCTGATAGAGAGGGGGTAGAAGGTGCGAACCTCTCCCCTAAGGTTTTTGGGGCAAGCCTCTCCGGCGTGCCGCGCAATCTTGCCCAAGTTTTCAGGAATTTTTAGGACACCCATCGCGCGTGTTTTGACACCAAAACGTTCCCTAGTATTTCTAGTTTCGGGGCAGCGGTGGCTCTGTGGCACATTGCGCAGTTATCTACGGCCTACGGCGTTAATGGAGCCATACATCATAAGTACTTGCGTAAGACAACAGCCTAAAACGTATTGCCAATGACGAGGTCCTGTTGGGACCAGTCCACGAGTGTTCTCTTCTAGAGTCTAGGGTTCCTGGTTAGTAAACGACAGAAGGTTCTATCGACCCCACCCACCCCTTCTGTATTTTTTCGTGTTATGAATAACTGTGAACTGGGGCGAAGGTTAAGGTAAAGCTTGTCTTAAAGATGTTAATGGATCACATTAGATATCTGAGATTGAAAATGCTGATCCCGCCATCATTAATACGTATCATTTGCTTAGCTTCCCTGTTAACACAACGCCCATTTTAAACACTCACACAACGTACTACGGGAATCGAAGATCGCCTGAAAAGACCATGCATGATCAGTTTTAATCGCCTTTGCAGCTTTATTGCCGTGATTTTATGCAAATGCTTTAAATGTGTCGATGAGACAGCCGCCCTGCTTCCCCCTGATTGTCCCGACGCCAACGGGCGCGACGTATTCCACTGGCGGCGAGCAGGCGGGCGCCGCATCAGCGTGCGGGCCGTGTCTGCTGCGGTTCAGACTCCCGTGCCCCCGGCAGCTGCTGCTGTTCGACTACGACAAGGTGGAGCTGGCCAACATGAACCGGCTGTTCTACCAGCCGCATCAGGCCGGCCTGAGCAAGGTGGAGGCGGCCGCGCGCACCCTGGCCAGCATCAACCCGGACGTGATCATCGAGTGTCACAACTACAACATCACCACCGTCGAGAACTTCGAACACTTCATGGGCAGAGTCAGGTGATGCGTCGCGGTGCGGATATGGAAGCCGCGAGTCCTCAGGACCTGAGAGATCGACTGAGATGATTTGGTGTCAGTCTGGGATAGTGTGACCAGCGTCGCGGCAGATCGGGGCGGGAGCGCGCAAGGTCGTCTCCTAACGGATGAATCACAAACGTGTCCAGGTCGCCGATGCAGTTGTGGTGTCCAACATCCCGTCCTTTGTGTTTGCAAAGAGGGGGACGGGAATGACTAGGTCCTGCACATTGCCGTACTATTCCGTGCACTAACAGCATTTTAGTGCAGATCATCGTCCTCTGCGCAAGTATGGCTTGCTTCCGGTCACGTGAGGCGCCAGAGACGGCCCCGCTGACCTGTTTTAACACACGGCTGCAGTTCTGTGACTGTCCCGTCCGGCTGGGCAGGTCCGGGAGTCTGAGCGACGGGCCGGTGGACCTGGTGCTGAGCTGTGTCGACAACTTTGAGGCCCGCATGGCCATCAACACCGCCTGCAACGAGCTGGGCCAGACCTGGTTCGAGTCGGGGGTCGCCGAGAACGCCGTGTCCGGTGAGGAGCTGTTCTGGCGGCGCGCTCGACGGCGGGGAGGACGGGGCGACGCCGGAACACCGGGGCAGGCGGCCAGGATACGGAGGGGGCCAGGCGGGAGTGGGAGAGCGTGCTGGTGGAGGCGCCCTGGGGTGAGCGTGTTGGAGGGATCAGAGAAACTGGTGGGGGAAGGAGAGGGGGCGGTGTAACTCAGTAGGGAGAGCGTCCTTTGCGGAGCGTCGTTGGGCGTCGTTGGGAGGATAACTGGCGTCTCATGTGAGCTATCCTGTCGCGAGAGCGCGACGCTCTCGTTCCAGGCTGAGGCGTGGCTGTTGGGGATCGCTTGGTCAAATATCAAAACATTCCACGTGGAAACACTGAACGCGTGGCTGCTTGACACTACCTCTTTGTCAGCTTGTTGAAGCCTTTAAGCTGCATCACTTAGTTTTTTACCGTAATGTCCGTGACCTCCTAATAATGCTAGGCATAACGTCAAGTTCCACGAAGTTAGAGTTTAACCCTGCTATCGCTCCGCGTGACAAAATCCATGATGGACGTGGCATCTGAACGCAGTTGCTTCACACGATTTTGCATGGCTTAGTGACAGCGCCAAACTAAGGACTTCCGACTTCCTAAATTGCTTGCTTGTCTGCATTGTCAATAGCCGTTACAACGTTGCGTTTCTTTTCGACGCATGTGTCTGCTGTGTTGTGGCTTTTCACGCCGATCAGTGTGTGGGAGACCAAAAAGCTCTGGACTCTCCTTTTCCCACAAGGCCATGAAAAGCGTGCACTTCCCTCTAAACACTCTGTAATATAGGTTCCATGTAAAATAACAACCCCGTTACTCTCTTTCGCTCCTCCCGACCACCACCACGCCAACTGCGGCCGTACCTCCGCACCGTTCTCCCCCGTCGGCCACGCCTATCCCCGCCCCCGCTGCCCTGACCTTCCTGACCGCCCTGACCGCGCTGAACGCTGACCTACATGACCATCCTGACCTCCCTGACCGCCCTGACCGCCCTGACCATCCTGACCTGCGTGACCTCCGTCACTGCTCTGACCGTCCTAACCTCCCTCATCGCCCTGACATCCCTAATCGCCTTGACCTCCCTGACCGCCTTGACCTCCCTTGACCTCCCTGACCTCCCGCCTCAGGTCACATCCAGATGATCGTGCCGGGTGAGCTGGCCTGCTTCGCCTGCGCGCCGCCGCTGATCGTCGCCTCGGGCATCGACGAGAAGACGCTGAAGCGGGACGGCGTGTGCGCCGCCTCGCTGCCCACCACCATGGGCGTCGTGTCTGGCCTGCTCGTGCAGAACACGCTCAAGTGAGTGGCGAGCGGGCGGGCGCACGGCTGCCGTCCGCGCGGCTCGTGTCATGGGCACGCTCCGCTCGGGACCGAGGGCACTGCTGGGAAACATCCACATGGCTCAGGGATGGCTCGATGTCGCCTCTTTACCGATACCTCCTGGCATGTTGAACGCCGGCTATTTTCGACGCTCACAATGGGCTGCTTTCAGCTTGGCTGCATTGTTTTTTGTGGTGGGCCACCGTAGTGTAAAGCCAGTAGTGTATATTAATTAAGTAGTGGATTATAGTGTAGTAGTATATAACCGTAGTGTAAAGTGGACTTGCTGGTCAGAAAGCTGTTGGGAGTTGTCACGTCTCTGTGCGGTCGGCCTGAGCCGTGTTCGGTGTCTTTGGACCGCTCGGTCTGTGACGTCACTGCCCCCGGGTGGCTGTGACGTCATTCACACGGGAACTGACGTCACTGGGATGGTGTGTGATGCCGACGCGAGCGGCTCACGCTGGTCCAACACCGGGACTGAGGGGCTGACGGTGGCCTGCCCGACCTCAGATACCTGCTGAAGTTCGGCTCGGTGACCCACTACCTGGGCTACTCGGCGCTGCAGGACTTCTTCCCGACCATGAGCATGAAGCCGAACCCGACCTGTGACGACTACCATTGCAGGTACGCGGTCCCGACCCGTGTGGCGTGACACCGTGTGCGTACGCTCGTCTGTGCCAGGTCACCGAGGGGGTGTAGGGCGTAGTTTTGCAGAAGGATTGATTGTATTAGTATCACGAATGAACTAATTGCTTGGGCTATCACCTCATTTGATGCGTCAGTACGCACACAATGCCTCGGCCATTTGGCTCTGCGACCGTTGACAAGTGTGAGTCCCGACACCCCAGCGTCCAGGGTGGTGTGTGAATTTCAGCCGTGTATGAGTCACAACCTGAAACTCTCCTGGGAATGGCTGGGATTCGAGCCGGGGTCCTCTGAGGGTAGATTCGGGTTGTTACGCATACGTGGCGGGAAGTCAGACACCATCCAGTCCTTGTCAGAACTCAATATCACCAGGCGACGGCCGGAGAATCAACTGTCTGAAACGCTGTGCACATGGTAACACCTTATCAGGTGATAGTCGGAACAACTATTTCATCCGCTGAATGGACCATTTAAGCTGCTTGAAGTGCATGGGAAAGCGTAGATCATTTGCAATGGTTTTGCTCAGAATATCCGCTCCTGGAAAGCACATTTTTGTGCCTTTGGGGTGCGTGCTGTTTTCCTTAGATGCGTCGTGTCGGTAGACCTCTGATGTTTTATTTTCGCGGCACAAAGGTGGAATCCGTCAAGCACGTAAAAAGCCTGCATCCCACAGAGCTGCACCAAGGAGTCAATAGAGGATGCAGTTTCGGGAGCCTGGGCTAGTGCTAACCGTGCATGCCTTTGTTCGTAACCTTGCTGCACATCCAGAGACGTTTCTGCACACACTTAAATTGAGTGTGGCGACAGATTGTTGTGGGACGGCTCTCTCCCCTCCCCAGAGAGCGGCGGAGAGAGTTCCTGGAGCGGGAGGCCTCCAAGCCGAAACAGGAAATAGTGGAGGAGGCGGCCCCAGAGGTGCTGCACGAGGACAACGACTGGGGTGAGCACTGCCGGCGGGTGTGTAGCACCCCAACGTCGAGGAGGGTGACGGGCGTGTGATCCTTCATCCACTCAGGCTAGGAGGATGACAGGTTTGGGGACGTTTGCGCACGGTCGTCTTCTTTTGTCCAGTGACCCGTACGTCGAAGGCGTACGCTTACGCTCTCGTGACAGCGTATGACTAGTGTGACAACAATGGTGTGACACTTGGGTCTCACCCTGTGTGGCACTGAGGGCTCATCCTGTGTGACGCCGGGGGCTCATCCTGTGTGACACTGGGGCTCATCCTGTGTGACACTGGGGCTCATCCTGTGTGACACTGGGCGCTCGGCAGGTGACACCCGGCGAGCTATTGTTGTGTCGTTTGACTGGGGCCTGCTGCCTTCCACACCCTGACGTGCCCGACGACGATGATGGTGTGATGATGCGATGATTCGACATCCTGGTGATGATGCGCCACGGCCTGACGCCGCGCGTCGCCGGCAGGCATCAGCCTGGTGGAAGAGACGGCGCCAGAGGAGGCCGAGCCGGAGCTGGTCCAGGGCGTGCGGCTGGCCTACAGCCGGCCCGACCAGCCGCCCCCGTCAGCCGAACCGCAGAGCGCGCCGGCGGCGGACCCGGAGGCCGGCGCCGCCGACCAGACCAGCCTGGACGACCTGCGCGCGCAGATGATGGCCCTCTGAGACGAGCCTGGCGCGGAGGGCGGCCGCCGGCGGCTCACACGGCCCCTCGGTGGCAGCGGTGGCCGCGGTGCCGTCCCGCGGCTTCGCTAATGCCGGCGATTTGTGGTGCGGTGGCGTGGGGTCGGCTCCTGCAGGTGGGTGTGGCTCTGAAGCTTGCGGAGTGGTCACACCAACACGACCTTGGTTCGGTGTTCGGGCCCCCTGCGATGCCGCTGCGGTGGTGCTGCGTTGTGGCGAAGGTATCTCGTTGGCGACGACTGAGTTCAGGTGGAAAACTGCATTGGTCTTCACCGGCCAATGGTATTCATGTCAAACGTTGTTTGTTGTTGGTTTAATTTTGAAACAATTTATGGTGGATGCTACTGCTCTTAGTTGTGTGACCTCAGCGTCCTCTCTTTCTTGCATGGGACAATATTTAGCATTCCAAAGCAAGCAGTCACACACTAGGGCTGTTTTGCCCAGTAGACCCAGGTCCTGCGCGTGCAGCACCAGTGTGAGCGGCTCCGGGGGGGGGGGGGGGGGAGGGGCGACGGGTGTCTCATGGCCCGACCGACATCTCGCGGGGGGCAAGACCGCCAGATCAACCACGATGTCGTACGTCACGGCTCCGACGTTTTCGATGACTTTCGACGCGTCAGCCTGCACGACCCTTCTGACTCGGATCCATCCCGCCTGGAGTTGTCGCCGTGTGAGCCGTTGGCGTTACCCGAGAATGCGTCAGGAAGGCGGGTGTCGTGTGGGCCGTATTTATTGAACTGCCGGCGGCAGTCTATTTTTGTACGCTTGGTGGTTGGTGAAATACAGCCAGTGGTGCTGGCGACGTGGTACGAGAGTCTTTGTTCAACCTGTCGGGCCTAGCAGGTGCTTGGCCTGACGGTGATGCAGTCTTTCCGGGCCGCGGTCAGCTGTGTGGGGCTAAGTCACAGTGGATGTCTCGTCTGTGCACGTAACGGCTGCTAACGCAAGCGAGATCACGAGGGAAAACAACGGACCAGCGGTAATTTATGTACCGATCCCTGCTACAGACATACTCTAGCACTAATAACAGGAAAGCAATGTGTCTTAATCGTTTTATTGGACAACGTCAAAAATTATGAACATTGCATCACATCACTAGAACGTAAGGCAACAGGGAAAAGCCCATCTGTGCCGGTTCGCGGGCGAGGATGGAGGATGAGAAGGATTATCCGTTCACAAGCTGCTCGAACCGCGACAGCACGACGACGACATTGTGACAGCTAAATTGACACATCTGCGACACAATGGTCGTCTGTGCACAGCACGACAGACGATCGAGTGTTAATGTCTCACAAGAATACGTTCTGCGCCTGTGGTTGATATTGCACGCGGCCTCTGCAGCGCGTTGAATGCCAGACAGACGCCGTGATGCGTGTGTGACAGACAGGGGTGATGCGCATTCCACATGCACAACTCCTTGCACATCAATTATTACACGTTGCCAACCAAATGTGGGGTTTGCAGGGCATGACTCAATGGCAACACGCACTTCTCGACCCAAAGCGTGTAGTCTGGCACAGTCGGCGACAATTCAGTCAATGAAGTAAACCAAGCCCGGAAACAATGTCTGAAGCGAGGCTTCAAATGAAATCAAAGCTACTTGGGATTCATCCAATTGGTCCCTTGACGCGAGCTAGGAAAGCTTGTGTGAAATGGAAGCTGATGGCGCAAGTTTTAAACCCCACTTCATCTTAGACTCCATCCTCATCTGACAGTCACTGTTCATTCGTATCACAACCTTAGTTTGTAGTCCCCGAATAAACATCTCCCTACGAGAAACGAACCACCAGGTTCGGAGCTACGCTCTTTTCGTTGGTTTGCTGTTTGCGGAACGGTAAGCACCTACTTACTGCGAGCTTCAAACGCCTCATCCTCGTTCGTCCCTTTTGCATAATTTCGGGAAGGAAGCTGTACTCTACAGTATTAATTTAAAGAAGATATACATACCATAGCCTACCCAGACATTCAGGCGAGGTCCGATATAATCGGACAGCAGTAGGGGATTCTCCTTGGACCCCGCAGTGTTAACGCCACGTAGCCCAGCCCACCGGCATACGGCGAATGGGAGGGCGCCTCGCTGTGGCTCGACACCACACGCGCACGCGGCCTCCATCCAGGGCGAGTCGACAGACGGCACCGCCGGCATGGAGAACGCCTTTACGTGCTGCCCAATCTCGAACGGACTGTTGTAAAACATCGGACAGGATCTGATCTGGGAACTTCTTCAAAACTGCGTGCGAAAGCGGCTTGAATCAGACGTTTGACGCCGACAGCGGCACAGCTACTGTACCGTCACGCTGTCCCCAGCAAGATCACGAGATTTCGATCCAGCCCGGGATTATGTCCATCCACTGTTCATAATGACAGGTTACCCTCGAGCGCAAGGAAAAGTTGCTCACCAAAGTGAGACCCCTGTGAGGCCCTGCCTCAGCTAGATTTTCACATCTCTTGGTTATGACTTACCCCAGAGGATTAGTATTCCCGGTAATGATGACGGCGTTGGGAATGCCTGTGCCCATGACCGTGATGCACCTTTTAAATCCGAAAATTCCCTCGATTCGCGGCCAATAAAGCATAGAAAATGAGTGAAGATAAAATTGTATGTTCCTTGCAGATGACAACGATTTATAGTTAACAGAGGTGGACAGCGAACACCTGGACACGAGGCATATGGATTTACTTCGTGGTCACGGGGTAAGAGTGAGGTTAGTGTCATCTGGAAAACATAAACATACGCATAGTACCCGAGATACGTCAAGAGTGCAAACAATATGCCACTGAGCAACCCACAAGTGCTAGCATTTATCTGCTCCCTTATCCGCTCCTGTTAAGGAGAGCACTAATTACTTGAAAACGACCTGATAAAGTTATTGTGCTAAGTAGTGCTGCGCAAATTAGCGGGATGGGGGAACCAGTACACACCAGGTCCCCAGTTTGTCGACAATGTTCTAGGGTCTGGAGGAATAAACAGCTTCGTACGCTAAATTCCCCTGTAAGCTGCGCCGCAGACGTCATCGCGGTCGGTTCTCCGCGCACGGGTCGTGCTCTCATGTAGTTAGAGTCAGCGAGCTCCCATAGCACTCCACCCATTACTGGCGGCGAAACCCGCCTCCCTACCACGACTCCATCCATCCCAGGAGCACGTCAGAGCCCTAAAGATCACAGCAAACGACCAGAATAGCGCCAGCTCGGCGCCCCACTCAGCAGACGGGTCAGGGTATGACCTACCGTCACGCTCATCACAGGTGAGGGGCCCAACGGCGGAAAAAACACTGACAGCACAACCTGGCTTGACAATCCAGTGTTTGGGCATGCCTTTCCAGTAGGTGTGAGCGAGCCTTTTGGCACCCGAGTTCCGCAGCGTGTACTACACAATGCACTATGATGTATGACATCGACAAGCGCCCCCATGGAATGGCATCTTCACACCGAACAGGACAAAACTACGGAACCAAAGCCCACATCGGATGGCACCCGTGCAGAACTACAGCTGCTAACAGAAAACGTGACGTCATTGGTGCTTTCGGGCGCGTCGACTGGAAAACGTGACGTCAGAACAATAAAATAACATCTGCGCAAATCCCCCACGCCAGACGCCGAAATACCCTAGAGCACGCTGGAATTTGCAAAGCCATACCGCTGCCGCCTAGATCGCTTGTAGATCGACGGCAGCAGCATCACAAACGCCAGCAGGAGCAGCTTCAGCAGCGTGGTCTTGGAGAACAGATCGTCCAGAGACGACAGCGTGCCGATGACGTCCCCCGCCTCCACACAAACGAAATTGTACGGCATCAAACCTGGGCAGGGAAGCATCCGCAGCATACACGTTAGGCCAGGCGTGGGGCGGAAGGCATTGGTCACACATGTGTCTCCCAACGGCGCGGCTGCTCAGAGACGTTGGGTTATATGACAACGTGATTAGTTCATATGAAGTCCCGGCTTCTACGGAGCATTTACAATCGGATAGCTAAACCCTACCTGAATACCCGAATATCAGTATTCAAGGATTTCACACTAGAATGCTGGATGCTATCAATTAAACGCTTTCACAATTGAATGTCGGTCAAGAGCCCCAAATTTACGCACGGACACATCCAACACATAACAGCCTGGTCCAAGTAAAACGTTTTTGCCTGAAGGCCATTCATTGCCGTCCAACAGTGTACAGCAATGACGTGAACAAATCGGATACCTAAATATGCTTACCCACAAATACTGAGAAGCAGAACATATGCAGAGGCACCCCGACAATTGGGGAGGCCATATTGACGAACCAGTTCGGCGTCATCGGAAAAATACGAATGAATAGTAGAAAATACAGCAACTGGTGACGGTTCCGATGCACCTGAAACGAATCCAGACGATGTTCCAGCGATGACATGTGAAGAGACAGAAGCTTAAGAGCCATTTCGAATAACACGCATTGTCGCATTTCACGAACACCACAACCAGACGGGCACCTTCGCACTTTGCGGAGAAATCGATACAACTTGCACGTAAATGAGTCAAAATTCTCATTCGCTTCGTTCCGAGAATCGTAAACATGGCACGCCACCCCCATCACGTCATCCCTGCTACGCAAGTCGCTACCCGGAAGAACATACAGAAAATCGCGACGAAATAATTCATGGCTGCTCTCACTGCTGCGACCCATGGGAGAGCCACTCACCGTGTCCGTGAGATCCACGATCCGCTTCTTGAAATACTTGAGCAGCAACTGCCGACAGCAGTACTTGCTTAGCAGGTAGCAGTTCGTGGCGCCGAGCGCCGTGAGCGCGCAACACAGCATCCAGCCGTCCAGCGCGCCGTACAGGGCGCCCGACAGCACGTTCAGAAACATGCTGCCCGGGATCGAGAACGACTGCTTGTAGATGTAGGCGCTGCAGAAGAGCACCAGCGTGTATAGCCAGTGCTCCTCCTGGTAGCGGCGCAGCAGCACCGCCAGCGACTTGAGCTCGGCGAACGTGCTCGGGAACCGCAGGCGGGCGCTCTCCACCTGGGAGAGGAGGTCAGCGGCGCCTCACGACGCGGAAGGGCTTGTCGGGCCGCGCCACCCCTGCCCAGGCCACTTTTCCTTCGAACTCACGAGCAGCGTTGGATGGAATCAGCTCACCATTTTCAGGAAACAATATGTGTTAAGTGAATCTCCAATATGCCACTTTTTCTTAGTTGCAAAAATATCCTATACATTAGCATAATTGTATTGCAAGGGAGGCTTTGAAATAAGTTCATGGCATGCTTGACTTGTCACAAAGGCTGCCATTCCACCACCCTTGCTGCACAATGACAGTAAGTGGGAGGTTTGTCTTGAACCTTTCAACTAGCTACAAATAATGGTTACCTCATTAAGCAGAAGGATGAATAACAACCTGCATGTTGTAATGAACAGACCAATGTATGATGATTAAGCATGTTGGAATGGAGCAAATTTTGAAACACATGGACATTATGCACATTAAGCACATTATGAACTTAATTTTAACAGTGCAGGCATAAGTCCCCACAGCAACCAGCATATACAAATCTAATGATCTTAGAATCTAGCAAAATTGCAAAGACCACACTATGCTTGACATAAATGAAGAATTTGTGACATTTGACATGCATTGCTTGTAGCTTGTCATCCCATACATCCAGCTAACCAATGTGTGGGAGTGCATGGCTTGGACTGACCTGCTCATCAGAGGTGGTGAGAGCTGGTGCCCTGCTGACCAGGAGATACAGCCAGAGGGTGGAAACTGACACCACAGCAGGTAGGATCCAGATGTGACTCACTTGTCCCGGCATCAGCACACCTGATGGGTGTTCAAGGTGCAGCCTGCAAAAAAACAGCACCAGATAAGCACGTGAGTGAAGCAAGGGTCTAGTTGCTTGCTCTACTTCCTGTATGTGCATCTTCTTTCATGTTTTTGCTGTGATGTGTATTTGACCATTTCCAGTTACAGCTGAGGGTCTTTTCTCTGTAGCTCAGATGGAAGCATCAAAGAGATTCCTGTCAATGCATGGCAAGCATGTGAGCCTGTGTAGCAGAAACTGGGCCTATGTCACAAGGCTAGGACAGATGTTTGGGCATCATGTTGAAACATGATATGTTTTCATAGTTAAGGCTGAACTTGAATTAATTTGTCACAGTACTGACACCACATCAGGTATTTACATTAACTCATGTTTGGCAAAGACTTTGCCATCCATAAGTTAGCTCTGCTTGGTGACAGCATTCAGCCCATTTTTTCTAGCTCCAGCTTGGTTTTCATTTGATCAGTCAGATAAAAGGATGTAAATTGTCATTATCACCATGCCCTCACCTAGATATAGTTCTAAAACTAACTTTTGCAACATAGATCACTTGCTTGGAGATGCCAATGATAACAATTCTTACACAGGTAACATTGTTGCAAAAAATCTATTCTGTCACACAGAAGATCAACTATGAGATGATATTGCCCAGGCCTATCAGCCAAAAAACAGTATGCATTTCTAATGTAAGGTACATGACCATGACAGAGCCACCTATAGCAATCATTTCATTCTTCATCTGGCATGTATCATGCCTTGGGTGGAAATCAAACACAATGAAATGATTATTGCCTGGAGTCCACTATGTATGGTAGCCTGACAAATCAGATGTATACCTACTTGAAGTTATAGGCTAATGCATGACAGCCAACACAAGTGTGAAAGCTCACCTCCACCTGTAACCAGCTCTTCAACTAGGAATACCTTTTGTCAAAATGTAAGTCATGGGGGGAGACCTTTCATATCTGTGCAGCCTTGTCCCTTCAATGCTTGTTTCAGCCTGTATGTTGTAAAAGACTACATAAGTTGTTAACCATACTTGCAAGGAACATTATATGTAATATATAGCAGTAGCAAAGTCTTAATGCCCTGTAGACAAGTTAGGAGAAAGGAGAGGTAGATTTATTGATATTTCAGTTACATGCCTTTATCAAAAGACACATCAGCAGTATTTCCCAAACAGATTTTCAATCTGAATCCCAAGCATTGTGAAAAGTGGATTCTTAACCAATGATATTTGTTTTGATAAAGACGTTTGGCTGAAATGTCAATGCATCTGTATCCACTTTCTTCCGGTTATTCTACAAGGAAAAAAGCCACAAGTACTCTCATATTAAGTTGTCAAAGACAGCAGAACCTTTTAGAAGTCAGACCTTGAACCCGTAATGAATTTTCAAGCTACCTTGATGATGTTAACATTGATTACATATTCGTTCATGACCAAAGGGTATCGCTGTATCAATAAAACTACCGGTCAGCCACATGTGCCACACACAGGCCCCAGATTGTTTACCTACTCCTGTTTTCGACGGCAGACGAGATACCTTACAGCCATTGATTCCCAATGTTAAACAGCATTGCCATTTGCCTGACTGCAATGAGTTTCAACAGTCTCATATATAAGCCTAGACGCCGTGCATAATACAAAACACACCGGTCCGACGAACGCCAGTTAACCAAACGCTCACTGCGGACCTTTTCTTAAGTTGTGTGCGCTACCTATTCGAAACAGGAGCTTCGAATAAGCTTCAAAATGACACATAAGTACAGGCAGGCAAATACATTTTCTATCAACACACGCTCGGCCTACACATAAAAGTTTTGTGACATACTCCCATAGTATTAGCTGCATTGTACTTAATTGAGTTTTGGTTCTTCTATTATTCACAAGCAAAACAACGCATGTGCTGCAATGAAAACTACGATGTCTTTCTTCGCCCTAACCTGCTACCATCGAGGCAGAAAGCCGAAATCTGAGAAGTCTGCAAGACAGTCCACTAGTGACGCGGCGCTGAGAGGGAGAGGGTGCACAGGAGGCAAATGCCCCCCCCCCCCCCTTAGGTACCGAGCGACTCCAAGAGCCCCGTAGAATGGACCCATAGGTCCGAAAAGTTGTCCGGAGGTCGTGTTCAGGGCCCCGATTGACAGTGTGAGGCGCTCAGTGCCAGCCAGAGGGTCTTTTGTGCGGCTAGGGGTCCCCCTGAGTTGATAAGGGCCTACGCGTCGGTCAGACACCATCAGTTCCGCATAGTCCACTCTGTGTCGGCATGGGCACAGTCCACTAGTGAGCACAGTCCACTGAGGTCCCATCTCCCAAGCAGGGACAAATCCGAAGCCAGCGATTTACGTTGGCCGCGGTCTCGTCGTCTGTCAGGGGCCCGCAGTGCCTAACGGGGGGCCCTGAATTGGCAAAGAGCCCCGAATCGCCAGTGGCAGTGTTCAAGAGAACCCGAAGAGAGCCTGGAAGGCTACTCGGACCGGTGATCACGGGGATCACGATTGAAGGGCCTAACGGCACGATGGACTGGCCGGAGTCTAATTTAGGGCCCCCGGCCTACGGGGACGAGCCCTCAAATAACAGCCAGACGGCACTTCAAACCGATCGGGGAGCCCCAAGTCAATAAGGACCTTTTTCGGTTAGGCACCATCAGTGCCCCACAGTTGACTCCGTGTCGGTATGGGCCTGAGAGCCCACTTTCGAAGCAGCGCAGGGCAAGGGTCAGCCATTCATGGTGGTCGGGCGGGACCCCTGCATCTGTCAGAGGCACATAGTGCCTGACAGGGGTTCTTTGTTGGTAAGGGGTCCCAAGTCGACCAAGGACAGTGTTCGATGACGCCTGAAGAAGGGCCCGATGGGCCCACCAGAACCGACGCCCAAGGACCCGGTTGTATGGCACAAGGGCCCGTGGGGGTGGCCGTAAGTCACATAACTGATAATCACCCATCGGGGAGTGACCTCAAACGTAAGTCCAAATGCCTTTTGCATCGATTGGGGACCCCTGGTACAGCGGGGACCTATATTTCGGCGAGTGACCTTTACGACGACCTTTGACCTGATTTGCGATGTACAGAGTCCCTGACACATTAAGAGGCTTCTGTGTCGGTTAGAGGTTCATAGTACCTAACGGGGGTCTTATGTCGGCACGTGGCCTCGAGTCGGCCCGTATCCGTACTTGAGGGAGCCCGAAGAGGGGCCGGAAGGTCTCTCGAGACTAAATACCAAAGACCCGATTGGAAGGCTGAAGGGCCTGAAAAGCTGACTGTATGTCACAATTAAGGACCACCGCCCGTAGGGTCGTGCCCTCAAATGTCATCTAGAGGGTCTCCTGCATCGATTAGAGACCCCTGAGACAGTTTGTGCCTCTTTTTCCGCCAGAGATCACCAGCACCGAACAGTCGGCTCCGTATCTGTCTGAGTTTTGGATGCCCATTTCCCAAGCAAGAACAAGCCCAGGCCGCTGATTTGCATTTGTTGGAGCCCTTGCAACGATGTAGGGCTCCTACGTCGGTCGGGGGCCCAGCGTCCAATACGGTGTCGTGAGTCAACAATGGGCCTCCCGCGTTGGTCAGGGCCCTCTGACAAAGAAAGGAAACATGAGGACTTATGACAAGAGCTGACACTCGATACCATGGAAGGGTCCTGTGTCAGTCAAGGCTCCCGGTACCAAACGGTGGGCCCTCCAACCCAACTCCAGCCATGAGCCAAGACGTGTTTGCCCGCGCACGTCATTCTTTTCCAGAATCGACTAGTGAAAAAACATCAACAAGTTTTGACCCTGCGCGCATGCAATCTCGTGAGCAAGAGCAGCGATGGCCGGGACTGCCGCTTCCATGAAATTCAACGGCGTCGGCCGCTACAGGTAACACCAGGCGGCGGGCGCTGTGCGTGCGAAAACGACCGCCGTGAAATAATGCCTCCTTATGTCTGTATGTCTTGAAAATCAACCCGCCCCGTTCAGAGATAAGACTGGGCGTTTTATCTCTGGGGCGACTTTGTACAGTTTTGAGGTTCTGAGACTGCAACGCCGGGCGTTGAGGTATTTGCTGCCATGATTTGCGAGCGCGCTAGTTCAAAACTGCGTTACATAAGCTTTATCATGCATCAGTTGTCACTGAATGTTCAATATTTCCGAACAAACATGGGCAGGAACAGTTAATACAGATTTTTGTTCCATTTCTATCTGCAACGTACGTTCACGGGGTCCGTAATTGCACTGTAGAATCTACATCAAAATTCTAGCAAAGCTTGAGGTCCGTCGGTTCAGAAAGAGCTCACTTAACTTTTGTAGTATAAAGTGCCGGCGATTCATTCTATGCAGTATTTCAAGGCCTGATATATTCAATGCATCGCCTTTGAAATTAAAAAGAATTGACATCACGTTAGCTTCTGGTTTCCGTTCTTTTTTTAAAAGGTAAAAATAATGAAAAGAACAAAGAAAACCGTGACTCTCAGAAACAGGCGGGCTATATCCGGCGCTTTTTTTAGCCTGTTTTCCACCTTTTACTATCAGGGCGCTTTGTCAGCCCTGTGCCTGCCGTCAGTGCTCTGGCTGCGCGCCCGCACTCCACGCACCCACTGTCCGTTCTCGGAAATATTTCCTTAGAGCAGGGACACGTGGAGCCCCCCCCCCCCCCTGACCCCCCCCCCCCTCCTTAGGTCTTAATCAAGGGCCCAACTGGAGGGTCCGAAGGCCCTAAAATGTCGGTCGCGCGGCCTCCTGCGTCCATAGGGGTCCCTAGGGTCATGAAGTCCCCTCTGTCGGTCACACTGCCGATACAGAAATGCTCGCCCGTTTCGACATGCGGACCCATTTCCCAAGCAGCGGCACGGCCACGGCCCGCGATTACCTGTCAAAAGGCCTCAGTAGTCAATGTAGTCAGAAAAACAGCCGATAGGCAGCCCAATCTGGGATGGAAGGCCTTTCGGCCCCTGGCCGGAAAAGGTAAAGGGTTCCCTTGCTGTTCCATTGACGGTACGCGTAAGTGCACACGCCCATCGGTAAGCTGTACAACATATTTTACCCTGTTCAAACCTTGCCAAAACACTGAACAGTGCCAGCTGGAAATTTTAAGCACAGGTTTGTCTCGCGATTCTGTATGGTGCAGAACAGGAGAGCACAAAGACTGCGGTCTGTTTTCGCGCCAGCTTACGCCAAGACTACGGAGCCTGAAACTGCGGTGGAACTGGATGGGGGCCTCTTCGGGCTCGCGACTCTAATCATCACGAGAAAAGGGAGAGGTTGCTCAATTTTCGTTTCATGTTGTTTGCGTTAAATTCATACGCAGATTATATACGTATTTTCTACATAATTTATATATATATATATATATATGTATATATATGTATGTATATCATAGGTAATTTAGAAGATGCCACCATCTGATGCGTAGGTCAATATAGAAATGCTTCTGGTGCCCAGTTCCGTTTAACAACCATGCCAAAGTGCTGATGCATTCTCCATGTATATAAAAAACGCAGCTACGAAGACACAACACGAAAGAACTGAAACGCAAACTGCGTAACTTCAAAGGCGCCGGACGTCGGGCAAACGCAGCTACCGAGGCTAAGCTTTCAACGTCAACCAGGGCTCCATGTTCAATGGTACGCCCGTTCGGGATTAACTGACACATCAACTATATCCGAGCACCATGCACACGACTCGCATCTTTGCAAACACATACGCTGTGCCACGCTTGTTCTTGAATAGAGCAGATAATGCAGCGCATGTGGCGCGTTACGCTGCAAGCAAGCAGCGCTGCGCATCATAGTTCTTGAACGCTGCCAGCTACACATTCGTCCGCCAAGGGACTGCGCACCCGTCTTATTGGCGTTGTTGCGGGGACAATGTGCTGTCGGGCCTCGCTGCCAACGGCATGGGCGTCAATGATGCACGGTCGCACGCGGTGGTGGGCAGTCACCAGACGGTCTCATCGACCATGAGCGGCGGCGTGTCGTCGGTGTCACACTTCACGAGCAGCGCTGGTCCGTCGGTGTCAGTCGTGACGCGCAGCGCTGGTCCATCGGTGTCAAATGTCAGGCGCAGAGCTGGTCCATCGGTATCGCCTGCCACAGACTGCGGTGGGCTGTCGGTGACACCCGTTCTGGGCGACGATGGTACGTCAGTGACATCCCCCGCATGTACGCGCTGGGTAGCGGCCCGACGCCGTTCGAGCTGCATTGGCGCCGGCGGCTGCTGTGCGCTGGGGCTGTCAGGCCGCTGCTGTGCGCTGGGGCTGCCCGGTCGATGCTGTGCGCTGGGGCTGCCCGGTCGCTCTCGTTGGTGCAAGCGCATGTGCCGCTGCAGAGCGCCGAGCAACTTGAACGCCTTGCCGCACCGGCAGCCGAAGGGTCGATCGTCGCTGTGGCTGACCAGGTGCCGTGTCAGTGCCTGGCGACACCGGAACGCCTTGCCGCACATGCTGCACGCGTGCCGTCGCTGACCGTGGCGGGTGCGCAAGTGGCTGGTCAGCCGCCGTTGGGTTTTGAATGTCTTGCTGCACACGGAGCAGGCGTGTTCGCTGGCATCGCTGTGGCTTGCCATGTGATCGTTCAGTGCAGCCCTGTCGAAAAAATGCCGCCCGCAGGCCGCACACGGCACAGGCTTATCTCGCTTGTGGACTCGGCTGATGTGCCTCTCAACTCGATTGCGCTGCAGATATCCATTTGGACAATATGGACACAGGAATTTCTTCACCTTGTTATGCACCATGCTCTTGTGGTTCCGGACGCTTGAACTGTCTCGGGCGCGGAACGCGCATCCGGCCCAGTCGCATGCGAACGGCTTCTGGCCCGTGTGGATCAGGCTGTGTGCCTCCAGTGAGCTCTTGCGCACGAAAGCCTTGCCACACTCAGGTATCTGACACACGTACGGCCTCTCCCCCGTATGGATCATGCTGTGCGCACGCAGCTGCCCCTTACGTTTAAAACTGCGAGCGCACACCGAACAGCTGAACGGATACGCCGCCGAGTGCACGGTGGCGTTGTGGCTACTCAGGTAGCGGGCAAGCTTGAACGTTTTGCCGCACAGGTCGCAGGCGAACGCCTCGGTGGCCGCGTGCGTCTTGAGGTGGCGCCGGAAGTCCTGCGTCGTGCCACACAGCTCCTTCTGACAGACGTGGCAGCGGCGGCGGCACCGAATGCGGTGGAGATTCAAGTGCGCTTCGAACCGCCGCACGGTGGCGAACGTCTTGTCGCAGGTAAAGCAGCGCCATGTCACGCCTCCAACAGCACTGGCCCCCTCCCCCCCGTCGGCCGACCACGCTGGGTCCACACTCATACCGCAGCCGCCCAGCGTCGCTTCGACACCCGCTCCCAACAGCAGGTAACGCACACTCTCCAGCCGCACCACGCCAGCACCCGACGTCCCCGCGAGCTCCATGACGACTCCGCGCCGCGCCAACAGTGGTCGCGCGCATCGTATTCCAAGCCCACGTGACTGGAAGAGCAGCAGCTCGAAACTGCGATCAGCTGTTGCAAATGTCCTTGAAATCACGTGCTAAAGAGCGCGCGCGTAAGTTTGGCGCGAAGATAGCGCGTAGAATGCGACACACTGCTGTCAGCCGCCAGGACAGGGCGAAAGGCGGAACTGACTAGACGCCGGCGAGAGATTTGAATGCATTATGACGGTAAAGTATTTTCTTATTTTAGGGAGGGGGGATATTCAGATATAAATTTTTATAAGCGTCAAATGTGCATCTAGATGCACGACTAGTTGCAAAATGAATGTGAACACGTGAAAACAAGCTGCTTGGAACAAGAATTAAATGCCGCGTGGGAAATGGCGTGTCTGCCGCGCGCTGGAATGCATAATTTGATGGAACGTCGTGGTTGTGGCCTCTACGTTCCAAACACGGAATGCTCTAAACCCCGTTTTTTCAGGATCCGATTCTTCGCCGGTCTGTTTCCGCGATCTAGAAGCGAACCCCGGCCAAACTGGGCACGGCACAAATGTAGCTGAGAGGAGCGCAGCCAGGGCCTTGGGAAAGGTGGGGGGTAGGGGGCGCAGTGTTTAGAGAGGGGCCCCGCGTGGTAAAAAGGACTTCCTTGCGAATAAATCGCCGGGTATGGCCCACGTCTTGATGAGTAGCACAGTTTTCTTTGAGCTGTTATTATCTTTACCTTTTAAAGCTCAAACAGCGACCAGCAGCTACCGCGAGGTCAATTCCGTTTGCATCTTGGAGTGAATAAACTTTGGAAATCAGGCGTTAAACGACTATGGAATATGTCGCCGTCGCTCTTTGTTTCACAACGGCGCGGTGGACTCAGTAAAACAATAGGTCTCTAAAACTTCAGAATTTTTATCTGGATTCTACAGGGATGTTGAGGAACCAATGAACGTAAATTGCGGAACAAAATAGGTCAGAAATTTATGTTAGCATGGCCAAACCATGTTTGTAAACGTTCAGCAATCAACCTGTGTCGATTAAAGAGAGAAAATAACGTAGCATAGCTTTGAGCATGCGCTCAAACCATAGCCACAAAAACACGATAATCCGCGCTATAGTCTTTATACTTGGCGTCGAGTCCGCAGCTAACATTAAGCAGTGGTCAACCGGCGCACGAAAATCTGGCGTGTAATTTTGTCACTAGTCGATTCTTCAACGAAAATGAACGTTTTCAGACAATCATTGGCTGATCTTTTTCAGTTCTAATCTGATCTCGACCTACTCAGTTCAGCATCAATGAAACCCTTTAATTGTTTCCGGCAAGGGTCTCCCTGAGTAGAGCACTGGGGGGAACGATATCATTCTCGGTCAATGGCTGAAGGGTCATTCTGTTCCAGCGCGGTTCGCCTTCCGGCTGTCATTCTGGTGACACGGGGCAGGATCTCCTGGTCGATCCGGAGGCTATTCGCCCTTCCAACTTGGAAGGACGTACGTTGCCCGATGCTGGCGGATGCTTTTTGTACCGCAGTGTCGAAGCTTATTCTCAGCTTAGTGCATGTGATCCTCCCGGGCATGTAGATTCCTATTCAGTTTGGGGACTCAAGCCCCTCTCCCTCGCCCTCCTCACCACAACCATTCCCAACTTGAGCGCTAGCCTTGAGAGAAATGGGCCAAATCTGAGGACAACACATCTGCTGGCGAATTGCGGGGGCAGGTTTCATAGTTGTTCATGGCTTAGCCCCCCCCCTTTTATAATCTCCTTTTCAAAAATACGCCCTTGTATCCTCGCAACCAGAAAGCCCTGTCATGTATCACCCTACAAACGTTTGTATGTAGAGGAGACAGAGAGTTGCTTCAGTTTCGCTCTAAGCTCCCTAATACCATAGCTACTGTGGATAGGACTAGGATTCTCATATCTACAGACAGCCAAACTCTTGGGCTCCATATATGGTGGACGTCTTCATTTTGGAGAACACATTTTGATTTTGTTGTCGTTGTTTTTTTCATAAGTTACGTTTAAATGAACCCATTTCAAACAGCACAATCTGGCTAGTCCTGGGGTAAATTGTATCAAACGGTGGGAGAATTTGTGTCGATGTTGTTTTTTTGGCAGCGAGGTGGCTGCATCGTAAGCATGCTGAATGTGTTACAATGTGTGAACAAAATACGCTCGTGTCTCCGAAGTCGAAATTCGTCGAGATGAGATGGCATGGCAAAGTGCTGTCTTTTTAATCAGCCAGTGTTTGTTTCACCCCTACCGTCTTCCCGGCTTTGGCTGCTCAGGTAGGAATTGTATTTATTGGTGTCATAAATACGGACGTATGGTCTAGATGACGAATGTCATGGCAACAGTGGCCGTCAATCATGGACAGCACGTCAGTTCATGACACCATTGACAGTCAGTCATGTGATGACATCGTTGTCCGTACATTGTGCCACTGATCACATGCCCCATGCACAGGTGATATCTTTGTACCACTGATATTACGTACCACCCGATATCCTGGAAAAAGCTAGCACCGTCCCGAATTCCTTGGCTATCACACGCTAACTGTTTTGCGGCATGTGCGGTTCATGTGCTTTCCCAGTATCAGTATTGCATTCAGATCAGCCGCGTATTTGTCGCGCTCACCCCATCACGCTTACACTCATGCCTCCGGAAGATCACGGAAAGTCAGAGAGTGCTTCTGTGCATCAGCTTAAGCACTCAAGAGTGCCGTCCGTTGTTTAGGTTTAAAATTAATCGCCCTGATACCACTTGGGTATGTTATAACTAATCACACCCTCCCCCACAGTGACAAAACATGTATGATTACCCAACCGCGCAGCCAGAGCCTTGGCAAGGGGGGGGAGGGGGGCACAGGGTTGACAAAAGGGCCATTGATCGTGAAAAGGTTTCCCCCAAAACATTATATTTTCGATACGGCCAATTTTTAACGAGGGCATGCTTTGCATTGACATTTTCCCATTTTTGCCTTCTATAACTGGATAAGAAGCCAGCAGCCGCCGCGAAACAAACTCTGATTGATTTCACAGTAAATAAACTGAAAAAATTATGCGTTAAGTGGTTGCATGAAACAGAGCACCGGCGTTCTGCATTCAACAATGATCCGATGGACTTTTCCAAATGGATATAACTCAGAAGTCCCGTCAAATTTTCATATGGCTTTTACAGATGTATAGGGGCTCGCAAATGAAGATTGTAAATCGAAATAGGTCAGCAATATGTATTAACATGGCTAAGTCAAACGAGTCCTTTGCCAACACAGGGCCCCCTATTAGGCGCTGTGGGGCCCTGACAGACGCTGAGGCCCCGACCAATCTAAATCGCTTGCTTCTGTTTTGTCTCTGCTTGCGGAAGGGGCCATTAGGACCATGCCAACGCTGAGCCGGCTGTGCGTTATGGGGGGGTGTCTGACCGATATATGGGCCCTTATCGACCCAGGGGTTTCCTGAACAGCATGCGGGGCCGTCTGGATAACATTCAGGAGTCCGGTCTTGCGGGCCAGGCCTCTGAAAGCGGCCTCCAGCCAGCCTTTCGGGCCCTTCAGTCCCTCAAATTCGGGTCCCTCGGGCCCTCAAATCGGGTCCTTAACGTGAGTTGGGGCCCTGGGGAGGGGAGGTGTTCCTGTGGCCCCCTGCCTGCGCTTCTGTGTTTGCCCCGTGGCTACGGTATGGCATCCGTCTCCAATAGTTTTGTGTTTGCCTATGGAAAAATGGAAACAGAGAGTACATTTGGCCACCTATTATGGTGACGACACAAGCATCCCAATGACACGCTGCTTGAGGATTACATACTTCACATGCTTCTTTAAGGTTTGCACCACCACCATTTATGGTGCGGTCTTAAGTGCAGCCAAATGTTCCCTGACGTGATGCGTTTAGGCTGGCAAAAGCGACTGCAGCATGAGCTAGATCCATTGCATACGGGCGAACGTAAGCAAATAACTCACTGCTGATGCGTTGACCCTCCTTTACGTTACCAAGTTAAGTCAGGGGTATCATATTGTAATAATGGCTATAGTTGCCCATTGGCAAATGGCACGTGGACGCTTCCTTTTCCCCTCTGATAGCGGTAACCTGCATAACGCTGATAAACCAACCCTGCCAACTGAAGGATTGGTAGCGCAGCTTTCGCGCGACCTGGCATACGAATGTTGCGAGCTTGTAAAGAGACAGAACTGATTGAAATTGAACCTCTTCAGGTCACATGAGTGGCATGTTACGACACCATCATAGCACATTTCAAGTCAGAAACACTTATCTGGATCTCTTGGCTGCCATATGACCTCTGCTCGACAATGGGCCATTACATCAGAGGTACATTCCCATCTATAAGGTTGAAATTTAGGTACATGCACACTTCGGTAGGTCGGTGTGCATGAACTGAAATGTTCCATCCGTCCTCCAAAATTCGTTTTGGCAAGCTCAGAGATATTTGAATGAGCAGCTGGCACAGCTTTTCCGCATATTGATGGATCAGACGAATAGCAATGTATATTTAAACACTCATTTAGTTTGCATGCCTGGTATATGCACGATACATTAAGTGCAAATTTATTTATGTAGTACATTATGTCATTATGCTGCATTGTAGGATAATTTATTAGGGTATTACAATTACGGTGCATTCTACAAACACAAACGTTGACCAAACTGACATCAAAATTGCTGCATTTTTGAACGATAAAACCCTTTTATAGTTTACTCTGATAAAAAACAGCACTGAACAATCCGTATGGCACCCATTGTCTCCCAGTCGTCTGGCTGTGGTTCTTGCACTTGGATCAACATCTGTTTAATGCGAGCGGCAACAGTTTAAAAGCTTCCGCGCTGCGAAAATAAATGTTGTTAAGGCTGCTCTTGGCAAAGTCTACATATGCTCACGGATCGTACAGCTTATGGCAATTATCTTCAAGCTTTTTAAACTGCATGACAAATGTCAACAATAGCTGTTGGAAAATACATACCCTTGAGTTGTTGAAAAACCGCA